TGTGCCCTCGGTGGTAAATGCTTAAAATGTTTTAGGATGTTTCGAAACATCATTATAATACCCGATAAGGTTTTGGAAAATTGTAGGTCTGTTTTTAAGAGCACGCCTCTTGTTTTAGCAGTCTGTTTGATACGCTAAACGTGAAGATGAAGAGTAATAGCCGTGGGAGATGTGACGAAACATGGTTGGTTTCAAAACATTAAGCACAGTAAATGTGCTTGCCTTTTCTATCAAGGTCCTATCTACCATGGTCAACAAATATAAGTGCATCCCTCCCAAGAGCATGCTTGATGGCCAAAATGTGTCCTGTTATTGGATGCTGTTGTCGCAGATGGAACATGTTCTAAAAAATCGATGCGTTTTTGGCTGTATCCTCGGCTGCCTTGTACTTTTTGCAGGGCATGCATCGCTTTGAATACCGTCCGCCACATGGAGGTGTCTTATGCCCCAAAGCAGTCCCACATATGATTACCGCAGACGAAATGCCTGTTTTCATCTGCCCCGCTTCGAAAACCGAGTCATGTCTTTTGTCGCCAACTATAATGATCCCGATCTGGGAGGCGATGCTGCAATGGCATTGACTTCGCCCCAGAAGAACCCACCCCAAGTTCACCTCTCTGTCGTCCACCATGTAGCACACGCCGTTGACAATCAAAGGTCGCTGGCGACCCTGGCCCAGCGCTGGCGAAATGGCGACTTTGGCCCAGCGCTGACGAAATGGCGACCCTGGCCCAGCGCTGACGAAATGGCGACCCTGGCCCAGCGCTGGCGAAACGACTTCGCACGTTGCAGGCCAATATTCCCTGGATCGCTTCTGGGATGTGCATACCAGTAATATTCAGATTTCTGACCAAAAATCTGTCAGGTCTTAAAGTGCATCTACTAATTCCGTCTATTGCTCTACGAGCGTCCCTGCTGCTCGTCTGGTGTGGAAATTTAGCATTACTGATGCAGAGCAGACCTCTGCCAGAGCCCTACCGCCGCGATCGGGGACCGTCGTCGGACCTCGACGGCAGGGCGGCGCCGGCCGCTAACCCAGAGCGGCGTGCGTCGGGCGACGGCCCCCGCGTGGCCCGGGCTGCTCCGAGCAGTGACGGATTGCCGGGTCTCCACGCCTGCAGCCGTGCCTGACTCGGGTCGGACGGCTGGCGGGACCACCCGCCGCTGACGGCCCCTTCTCGCGGCACACCCCTCGGCGCGACTCGTCGGTCGGACCGCGCCGCGCAAACACCGATCCGTAGCCTCCCGGTCCGGTTTGACGAGCGAGAAATGCGGAAACTGGGGACGAGCGCACCGGCGGAACCACCTGGTCCCTGTCATGTCGAGTCCCGAGCGCGTGTGAACGCGTGTCGGCGCTGTAACGGTGCAGCGCATGGTCGCGCTTATGTGTTGCTTCCCCACGCCGGCAGGTATAAAGCGAGGCAAAATTAGGGGTGCAAAGTGTGTGAAGCCATTATCGCAGGCCACGGACCTTGTTTTCCTCGATATTGGGAATGAAAGCGAGGACAGCTGGGAGCGCTTCACTAGCCCACCCAGATGCTGATATGAATGAATGAATGTGACGCGAATGTGAATTAGTGTGAATGACGCGTCAGGATGGCTGAAACCGGACCAGACCGGGCGTCCGGACCGGACCAGACATCCGGACCGGACCGGGCATCCGGACCGGACCGGGCATCCGGACCAGACTAGACATCCGGACCGGACCGGACATCCGGACCGAACCAGTCATCCGGACCGGACTGGGCATCCGGACCGGACCGGGCATCCGGACAAGACCGGGCATCCGGACCAGACCGGACATCTGAACCAGACCGGGCATCCATGAGCGGACATCGGGACTGAATCTGGCATCCGGACCGAACCAGGCATCCGAACCGGACCAGACATCCGGACCGAACCGGGCATCCGGACCGGACCAGACATCCGGACCGAACCGGGCAGATGGACCGGACCAGGCATCTGGAGCAGACCGGGCAGACGGGCCGGACCAGACATCCGGACCGGACCAGACATCCGGACCAGGCCGGGCGGACGGGCCGGACCAGGCAGCCGGCGCTGTTGACGCGGACTGATGACCACATACAAGACGGTTTCTTTGGAGACATTAGTAACGCACACACCCGAGGACCAGTAGAGAACTACCTCTGATTTCACACCATGTGCTATTGGTACAGGTATCATCGGTGGGGCTTTGCGCTAACCTGGGTCTCCATCTGGTCTTCATTCAAGCTGAGAGCACCTGGTGCTCTTGCTGCGCCTGGTATGACAAGTTTTGCAATTATAACTGATCTACCATGCATGATCAATAGGCTGCACAGGTATAGTCTCGTGTAATGTGTTGTAGTGATGGTCCGTTGCCGTTGTACTTGATTTTGAGCGTTAAGTGCTTTCCCATTGTTCATTTGTTGTAACGTAATACGTTAAGTTTCCATGACTGATATTAAATATAACATGGATGCACGCCATCGCTGTAATAGTTTTCATTTAGTTTCTACCCTAGTATTGTTTATTGCGTTCACCACTGGTGCTGCCCCGAGTGACAGGGCAGAGTTTCGGTCCCCACCTGGCGCCTGGCAGCTGGAGCGAAACAGGCGCCTGCAGAGAATCAGCACGTGCCACGCGGCCCCGCCTACACAAGGATGTGGCATTCACCCTCCTGTCCTCGTTCTCGCTTCATCCTGCACCATCGTGACACCCCGTTCCGGGTAAGCTACATGCACCAGCCATGAGTGGCCCAGTGGCCGGCACCCCAGTCAGTGACTGCACCCTGTCCGAGCGCCGAGTACACCCCGTACGTGAACCCCTGTGCGGCCTGAGGTTCGGCGGAGGACTCCCAGGTGCATGTAGGTTAGCCCCACCATTGCCCGCTCTTCTTCATACCATAGCCCTGAAATGGTCATTACGGGCCGAAAGGGCGTTTATCCAAACCAGACCAGACCAAAACAGAGCTATGCAGCTGATGTAGCGCTGTTGGTGCGTAGCGACGCGTCGATCGTAATGTAGCGTAACCTCACGCGCCAAGCCACGCTCGGCGCTGTACTTACCGGGCTTGCCCTGGCCGCTGCCGCGGGGCTGGCCGTCGATCGGCGCCGCCGGCTTGCCCGGTGCCTCTCGGGCTGCCGGCCGGTATGGTGGCGCCACCTGTCCGGCCAGACCGCCGGCGGCGGCCGCGTACTGGTGCGGCGTGCCCGCGGTTCTAAGCGCCGACCGCTGCCCGTCCGCCGCCGGCGCATCGCCGTCCACGAAGTGGGCGTGGATGTCGAAGTCGCTGCGGGCCACCTTGACGCGCAGACCGGGCCGGCTCGGGCGCCGGCCGCCGGCGTAGCAGTTGGTGACGTCCACAGGCGCGGCGGCGCGGCCGGCCGAGGCGCGGCGGCCGGCCGAGCTGCGGCGCGCGCCGTCCGCCGCCGAGCCGCGCCGGCTCGCGCCGTCCGCCGCCGAGCCGCGGCGACTCGAGTCGGCGCCGGAGCCGCGCCGGTGCAGCAGCCGGTCGGCCGTCTCTAGCTGCCGCTCGGTCGGGTGCCGCACCTTCTGCAGCGAGGAGAAGGTCGGCTGCAGGTAGGAAGGCTCCGCCGTTCGCGGCGTGGAGCAGAGCAGCGGGCCGTCGCCGGCGCCGCCGTCCGCGGCATGGTCCGACGGGCAGCGCGGCGTCACGGCGCAGACCGCCGGCAGCGCGCTCTGCGCCGAGCCTGCACCCACCAACCTCGACTGTGGGAACTCCGACATCAGGTTTAGATACTGGGGGAACGTCACGTGACGGGAGCAGAGCGGGCGCGTGGCGTACCCGCAGTAGTCGGACGGCCTCGTGAGCTCCTCCGGCTGGAGCCTGGCGTCCAGCACCGCTCCGACAGCCACGCCCGGTCCGAGGGTAGCGGTACTGCGGCTGCCAGGGTGCCAGCGAACCCTGCGCCCAGGCGCCGGGGCCGCAAGACCAGGCGAGCCCGGCGCAGCCGTCTGCTGGGCCTGGCGGCAGGGGCGGCAGCGCTGTCTGCCGGCCGCCGGCGCCCGGCCAGATCGCGGCGCCGCTCCTGTCCGCGCCGAGCAGCAGCTGCTGCTGCTGCTGCTGTCTGGCCGGTGTCGAGGCCGCGGGCGGGCCGGGGCGGACCGCGAGCACCGCCGACACGAGGGGGGAGGCCGGGCCCCGGGCGAAGGCGCCGGCCTGACCGCGGCCGATCCGCGCCGCGCCCGCCGCCAGACTCAGGCCGCTGAACGGCAGGCCGCTGGGCGAGTCTGCCGAGCGGTCGGCGACGCTCGGCCGCACCGGCACCGGCCGCACAGAGCAGAGCGGCCGTGCCGGGCCGCTCGGCCGCAGCGGCGGCGGCTCGCCGGCCGGCTCCATCGCGGCCAACGACGGCCGGCAGACGCGGGCTGGACAGGCGACGGACGCCCGTCCACTCTCCAACAGAGGCTTGTTCAGTATCTGGCGGACTGCCGTTCGTGATCTAACCAGCGATCACTCGCTACCCCATGAAGTCTCTTATCCTCTCGACGCTGCGATTAGCGGCAGGTAGCGTAGTGAAGTCTCGCTACCCAACAGTTCACCCGCTAAAAGCACTCGGCGCCGAGCGTCGAGGTGCGATTCCGCGGCCTTCCTGCCCCCGCGGCGCCTGCGGGTCCGGTCGCGGCTCCCTCGCCGGATGCCAGACGGGAGTCCCCGGCTCCGGCACCGCACCCTATCCTCGGTCGGCGGTCACCAGCACAGCACCGGCCCGGACGCCGGACGGAACTGCAGCCGTACTCCGGCAACACTCGAAGCACGCCGTCGCACTATCGTACTGACTGCACAGATATGGCGACATGAGCGAGACTCCTCCGCAGATAGCACGGCCGTCATGCCGTTCTCATGCTATCAAAGGTAAACACGGGCCCGATACGTGTGGCGAGACTCCATCGCCATGAGGTGGGACCGTGACATCGAGATTACAGAGTGTTACGTTCGTGATTCATCTTGCAGCCTGCTATCCTAAAAATGATGAGGCAGCTCAAAAGAAAACGGAATGCCGCCCACAATTTATTCGACGACGTGGTCCACCCTACAAGAGTATTACAAGCACCTGAGCGGCTTATTAGCGGGTCCGAAGCGTCGGGCGTCTAATCGCAACAACGTAAACTGTTACTGTTTCAGATCTGACCAATACAGGTACATAATAAAACCACACAACCCCTACAAAGTAACATGATTGCCGCGTCCCTCGAGCCATACACCTCGTCTACCTCGGCTAGAGCACCGCCCCCGACTACCCCATCCCCGCACAGCCCGCCATGGCCTCCGTTCGCGCGCCGGCCTGCGCCAGGCACCGTCACACAGCTCGTATTGCCGCGCCGCGTCCAGCGCGTCACGCGGCGTCTCCGCCTCAGGCTGCACTCCCTGCGACGCCAGACGCGGCGTCTCCGCCTCAGGCTGCGTTTCCCACGGCGCCAGACGCGACGTCTCCGCCTCAGACTGCACTCCCCGCGGCGCCAGACGCGACGTCTCCGCCTCCGGCTGCGTTTCCCGCGGCGCCAGACGCGGCGTCTCCGCCTCAGACTGCGCTCCCCGCGGCGCCAGACGCGGCGTCTCCGCTGGCAGCTCAGTCGCAGCGGGCGAACACCAGCGCAGCGCGGCTGGGCAGGTACACCTGGAGGAGGCGCGGGCGGTCAGGTGACAGGGCAGGTACACCTGGATGAGGCGCGGGCGGTCAGGTGAGAGGGCAGGTACGCCTGGAGGAGGCGCGGGCGGTCAGGTGACAGGGCAGGTACACCTGGAGGAGGCACGGGAGGTCAGGTGACAGGGCAGGCACACCCGGAGGAGGCACGGGCGGTCAGGTGACAGGGCAGGTACACCTGGAGAAGGCACGGGAGGTCAGGTGGATGGACATGTACACCTGGAGGAGGCACGGGAGGTCAGGTGACAGGGCAGGTACACCTAGGGAGGCGCGGGCGGTCAGGTGACAGGGCAGGTACGCCTGGAGGTGGCACGGGAGGTCAGGTGGATGGGCAGGTACACCTGGAGGGGGCGCGGGCGGTCAGGTGACAGGGCAGGTGCACCTGGAGGAGGCACGGGAGGTCAGGTGACAGGGCAGGTACACCTGAAGGAGGCGCGGGAGGTCGGGTGGCTGGGCAGGTACACCTGGAGGAGGCACGGAGGTCAGGTGGCTGGGCAGGTACACCTGGAGGAGGCACGGGAGGTCAGGTGACAGGGCAGGTACACCTGGAGGAGGCGCGGAAGGTCAAGTGACAAGGCAGGTACACCCGGAGGAGGCGCGGGAGGTCGGGTGGCTGGGCAGGTATGCCTGGCGGCAGAGAGGGACACTCGAGTGGTGGTGGGGCAGTGACATGAGGTACGTGACGACATTTAGGGACATTATCGGGGTGAGCTTAAGCAAGTACACATCGCCACAGTGAGGGACAGTTGAGTGGTTGGGAAGGTACACGCAGCTACAGTGGGGGACAGTTAAGTGACGGAAGGCACATGTGGCTACAGTGGGAGACAGTTGAGTGACTGGGAAGGTACACGTGGCTACAGTGGGGGACAGTTGTGACTGGGAAGGTACACGTGGCTACAGTGGGGGGCAGTTGTGACTGGGAAGGTACACGTGGCTACAGTGGGGGACAGTTGTGACTGGGAAGGTACACGTGGCTACAGTGGGGGACAGCTGTGACTGGGAAGGTACACGTGGCTACAGTGGGGGACAGTTGTGACTGGGAAGGTACACGTGGCCACAGTGGGGGACAGTTGTGACTGGGAAGGTACACGTGGCTACAGTGGGGGACAGTTGTGACTGGGAAGGTACACGTGGCTACAGTGGGGGGCAGTTGTGACTGGGAAGGTACACGTGGCTACAGTGGGGGACAGTTGTGACTGGGAAGGTACACGTGGCTACAGTGGGGGACAGCTGTGACTGGGAAGGTACACGTGGCTACAGTGGGGGACAGTTGTGACTGGGAAGGTACACGTGGCCACAGTGGGGGACAGTTGTGACTGGGAAGGTACACGTGGCTACAGTGGGGGACAGTTGTGACTGGGAAGGTACATGTGGCTACAGTGGGGGACAGTTGTGACTACGTGTGACTTGGAAGGTACACGTGGCGACAATGAGACGATTGGGGGTGCAGCTGGATAATGAATCACGGCAGTTGGTCCCATCACACATGCCGAGAGGAGACAAATCACATCACAAGCCGCATTCCCGAGGGCGTCGGCACTTGCAGGATTCTTAACATTCACGACGCTGAGTGTTTGTCTTTTGCGACCCATTACGAATGAATTTTAAGGGAACGTTCCCCATTTGAAGATATTGAATCAAGCATTAAATGTGATGAAACAAACTAACTTATAACCACTGGTATACTCTGAAATGGAAAAGACTGCTCTACACAGCACAATTTCTTTGTGTAGTAGATGTATTCCTCCATGCACCCTTGTTTGATGACGTCATCGTGCTTTGCACAACATTGTTTGAGAGCCAATTGACGGCCGCTATAAATTAAAATTGTGCTCCCAAACGTCAGATATTAAGGACTCGACAATTATATTTTCTTGGCCTTGATCACCGCATGGGTATTGGAATGGCAGAGTTTGAATCACGTGAATATGGCGTCGTGAATGCCTGGGTGGCCTTGGAATATCCTCCCTGAAATAGTCTGCACATCTTCGCGGACGTGTCGCCCCGAAACTAGACGGGTTTAGGTATTAAGACGGGCAGGGCTGTGAACTGCGCAGACCTTCAAGATGGCTATTTCAGTTCAGAACCCCATACAAATTTGGAACACTCGCGTAAGCATCTTCACTTCACCCCCTGCCTACATTACACACCCGAATATTCTAACCCGCAATAAAACACAATTTGTGGCGTCTGCGACCAGATGACTGTCATAAAAAGATTCCGCATTGTCGGTGGGTATCACACAATTCCTTCATTTCAACCGTGTTCAACCATTCCAACTGAAACAACACTGTTCAACAAAGCGTGACGCATGCTACCGTCATCACATCATCCCGCACTCCCGACAGCTGACGGCTGCACGTGACGTCTGCCGCACGTCCGGGCCACCTGGCGCGCGCGGCGGCGCCGGCTGCGGACGGCCGACTCACCAGCATCGAGTGGCGCCGACCGCAGTAGCCCTCGTCCAGCGTGAAGAACTTGGTGCTGGGGTCGACCCTGTTGTGGCCGCCGAACTCGGCCCGGTCTGTGTCCAGCACTATCTGGTAACATCCAGGCACGTCGACGCCCACCTGGTGAATGGAAATATAGCTCGCTAGATCTGGCCGACCCCAGGGATATCCATGCAGGCGTGATTCATGAACAGGGGGAAACACAACGCGATTTGAAAACGTACGCTAACAAAATAGCGTAGCCAGCACGTCTGCCAAACGCACGGCAGACCTAGAGCCATCTGTGATGACCGGTCTGAACTGCCGAACAGATCGCACTTGCTGTAACTGGGCTACGTCCGCGCGTCGCTCGGTTGACGAGGGGGGGGGAGGGAGATCGGCAGGTCAGGTCACCGACCGCCCCACCCCAGACGCCCCCCCCCCCCCAGACCAGAGCACAGCTCCAGCCCCAAAGGTGGCGTCTGGACGCGACAGGAGCGGCACGCGACAACGCGGGGCGGTCAGCCACCTTGTAGCCGGTGAAGGACTTGCTGGTGTGGAAGTTGAAGGCGAACACGACGCCGGCGCGGTCGTGCACCACCACCTTGTCGTCCTGATGTTTGCAGCTAACGTATGCCTGCGGGTGCGATCATGGTCAGAGAGGCCGACCAACAGCTCGAGGGCAGGGCGGGAATGTCCGCCACTGGGAGGGTCGATACACTGTGCTGGTGCGTGGGAAAACATACCAAGGAATACAATACAAGAACCCGCTCGTGCCATAACTGAAGACTTCTCTAACACAGTTTTTGCGACAAATGCCAGCCCTTGGGCTTCAACGCCCCTTTCAAGAAAAAAGGTAATATTTTATGCAACGTGAAGCAGATGGTCCTTATTAGCATTTTTGGATACACCGCAAGAATTGATAATTCCTATTCGTGGCACTAGAAAGTTGTAGTAACACACTGTGTAACTGGATGCTATCACAACACAATTATCCAGAAAAGCTTGCTTTCGTATGCAAGTACTACTACCGGAAAACAGTACCGGAGCACGAGAGAATTATCATAACTCGAAAAAGAGACGCCATAACCGACATCGGCATGGCAACGGGTCACGTAATGACGCGATCGAAGCCTTACGACCAGGATCGGTAAGCATTTATTGCATCCATGTTCAGAGCGACTCCCGGCCAGACCAAGTCCCAGTAACGCTTAGATGCAATATTTGCTCAACTTGACGTCTGCTTTCTTGCGGAAGCTGGGTATGAGGGCAGGTAAGTCACAGGCACAGGCACGGGAAATAGCTCTTGCTAGCATGTAATGTAATGATCTGCACTATACCAAAAAAGGTGAATCTATAAACATGTGGTAATGTATGTACATCAGTCCGCTGCTTTTCACACCCACACCCTCACACACTTACACGCACCCACACCCGCACGCACGCACGCACGCACGTACGCACGCACGCACATACACACGCACACACACATACACCCACACATACACACCCTCCCAACGAGCGCAGGGAGTCACCGAGTCCAGACGGCCGCTGCTCGAGCTTACTTGGATATGGACCGGGTTGTGGAGGTCGGCGCTGTCGAACACTCGCCCGGTGCGGAACTGGAGAGGACCAGGAGGGGAGCGGCCGCCGGCCCGTCGGAGTCAAGGTCAGGTCACGGTCACACCGCACACCAACGACACTGGCCGGCTGTGGGCCAATCAAAACACAAAGCAGCGCGGCAGGTACGCCTCCAGAGGTATGTGTCCAATGCCATTGTTCAAACGCGGTCTTGTCGATCTCACTCGTGCAGTAAAGCTACCAAATTGCTGTGCAGCAGCCGATGCCATAACCCGTGTGACCAGCTTGCCCAAATTACGACACACATTGACTGTTACAGCTGGGGAGAGGGGGGGGGGGGGCAGGTTTGAGTAGCGACACACGTCGCTATAGGTGTCTGGGTCGTGTCTCGGGGTCAGCACGTCACGCAGAGCAGACCCAGACACTGACCGGGTCGGCGTGCAGCCAGCCCAGCCGCGCCTCCAGATGGTTCATGGCCGCGTCGAAGTCGTTGAGCATGCGGTAGCGCAGCATGGTGTCGTCGACCAGGTGCCACTGGCGGCGCGCGTAGTGGTACGAGTCGTTGTTGCCGATGCGTGGGAAGTCCAGCCACTCCGGGTGGCCGAACTCGTTGCCTGCGATCGTGCAGAAGCGGCATGTTACGCGATGCGAAGGCACAGCAGCTACTCCGGCCTCCACAGCTTCAATTCCCGTTCAGGTCGTGCTTCGTAAGTGACGTAGTAAGGCACCCCATCTGCCCTTTTCGTTGTCAAGAAAATATATGGCGATCGTGTCAGCATCATGCTGCTAAACATCTAAAACATTTCAAAATGCAGGCAAGGACATCAGCGTCGCCCAGCTACGCACCCATGAAGTTGAGATACGCCTCGCCGCCGAGAGAGTGCGTTAGCAGTCGAATCATCTTGTGCAGCTGGATGCCGCGGTCGATGATCACATTGGGTGGGCTCGTCACCGACATGTTCGTGTACATCTCTTTGTCCATCAGCCAGAACGCGATGGTCTTGTCGCCGACGAGCGCCTGCAGGAGGCGCAATCCGGTCAGACTTCCCACAGAACAACGATGAGATCAAAACACCGATTCAAACGACATCACCAGCTAAGCTGGACCCCCCCCCCCCCCCCCCCCCCCCCCGCCTACTCTGACTCACAGTACCATCGGACTCACCCTTGCACTGTGTCAGATGACACAAATGACAATGTGCCTCACCCAACCGAAGACAACCGCCGGCCAGCCCCTGACACGCGCGTATCTCAGCCCGGAACCCATCGTGCGCGTGCAACAAATGTACGGGCGGCGTGGATCGATTTCATGGCATGTACGGGTGGTGTGGCGGACAGACGGCGGTCGGTGAAGACGCATTCCAATACGAGGTGCTAAAGGGATCGAGCTGAAGCAATAAAAGAACCACACAATATTACTTGAGAATTCAAAGCATGCAAGCCAGCATATTCCTGAACAAGGACCTGATCATGAGATTCAGCATAGGCGATTGTCTTCTCCATCCAGCGACGGTTAGTGAGTGTGAAGACCAGGTTGCCCATGTCCCAGTTTTCGTCGGGGTGCTCCTTCAGCAGCTCGATCCACTTGTCGGGGATGGCCATTCCCAGACGGTAGTCAAAACCCGTGCCGCCCTGCTCCACTGGACAGCAGAGAGCCGGCATACCAGACACGTCCTGCATGGACAGCGCAGACACGAGTCAGGACAGGCCTCGCTGCACCGGGCGACAAAGGAGCGGCATACCGCACGCGTCCCGTCAGTCCGGACAGATCCTGCCCCGATGGAAACAGAGCTGGCGTACAGGAGGCGTCGGGGCCCAGACGTGCGCCGGCTGGAAACATCGCACCACACGCAACACAGAGCGCGGGAGGGGCCGGACTCAACTAAGGTCACCGTGCCTGGTGTACAAGGCGACTGATGACGACCCGATCAGTGCACCCCGACAAGTCGGCTGCCCCTGAGCCCTGACCTCTGCAGCAGCTGACACAGCCCGAGAGCCGACAGCTCCCGCGCGCTCGCCAGCGGCCCGCGGGCTGACAGCACCCGCGCGCACGTCAGCGGCCTGCGAGCCGACAGCTCCCACGCGCTCGCCAGCGGCCCGCGAGCCGACAGCTCCCGCGCGCTCGCCAGCGGCCCGCAAGCCGACAACTCCCACGCGCTCCCTGCGGCCGCTGAGCCAACGGCACCCGCGCGCTCGCCAGCGGCCCGCGAGCCGACAGCTCCCGCGCGCTCGCCAGCGCTGCCATCAGCCACCGGCGCCGTCCCACAGAGACGGTTGGCGTCGACGCCTCGGCCCGCGCCCTGCTGACCTCGGCGATGGTCGTGGACTCGGGGTAGAACTTGTGGGTCATGTAGCAGGCCAGCATGAGGTACACCAGCGACTCGGTGTCCGTGCCCAGGCCGAAGTACTCGTTGTAGTCTCCGCTGAAGCCTGCGCACGCGGGCGGCGGGGTGATGCTGGGCCACGCCGGCTCCGGCATCAACATCATTACAAAATTACGGTACCTTTGAAGCGATACTAAATTGCACATTGAAAGACATGACACTAAGACATGCTGACCACTGCTTTCCGAGCCTCCCCGTTCTTTTCTTCCGCGCAGACATACGCGGTGGTCGTATTAACGTTCCCGCCGGGTCCTAGCCAAGGAGAGGTGGTATCGTTCTAATTTTAATATGAACAAATTCGATTGACCTAGGGCTAGGTATGGAGGCCAGAATAAGGTCAAAACCAACCATCATTGCTAATGATGGGTGGAGGGTTAATTTGCCCCCGGAGATTTTTCGGAATGGTGGCCGAACGGCGCGTCGTAGTCGCGCCAAATTTTGCATGCTGTAGACAAATGAATAGCGGATGGTTTGGTGTCAAACATTTTGGTGTAGTTCGGAAGGTCACTGACCCACGGTAGGTCAACGTCAGGTCATGGATTCGGCGAAGTTAATTTCAAGGGAATCTTTCAATCTGATACAACAACGAAGTATTAGAGGAAGCCACAATCACTGAGATACTGTCTTAGGCAACACAACAATTGAATGAACAAAGTCTTCTGACCTGGGGCCAGGTATAAAGGTCAGACTTAGGCCAAAACCAACCTGTTTTGTTATTCTAGGGCTTGCTGTATGGTGTAGTTTCTGGTGCTCATTTCGAATTTATTGATAACGAGAACCGAATTATTCATACTCCATGGACTTATTAAAGGTCAGAATAGGTAACTGACCTAAAATTACCATGGTCAGCACTTTGTTTTAGGAACATAACGCCTAGTGTAATCTTTGTCACTTATTCAAATGGAAAACTCAAATCAGTCTAGTACAATCTGAGTCACCGTGACCTTCGGAAGCGTCAGGCAAGGTCACTGACCTTAAATAAGCATGTGACCCCTTGCTTAGAACGTGTGTCTACATTCCGGGGCTCTTTGGACGCCAACCCGGGGTTTGAACTTATTTGACCCGAAGGTCATAACCTAGGAACCTCAAACTTTGACCCAAGTGAGGTCACGTACTGGCCAACACACCATGTGAACTGGGTGTTTCTAGCTCTCTAGTTCTGAGATCTCAAGGGGGTCAAACTGACACTCACTCGAGCAAAGGGTATCCAACCGGCCGCCCGGGCGCGTATTAAATATAGCTATTCGTGCAAGCCTATCAGACATGCTTAGACGGGCCAATATAACGGAAACATCGCGTTTGCGTCATTGGGGCTTTATGACGCACTCACCTGCTGAAGCTACATGGTGTCGCCTGCCTCTCAGGTGATCGAACCCCGTACCTCTGATTTCTCAGACGCGCAGTGGTTAATGCAGACGCGTTAACCACTACACTACGGGCACCCCAACGGAAACATCGTAAACTTCGAAACAAGGGCCCCTCTTTCAGTCCAAACGTTGTACTTCCACGCCCAATGTTCGGAGACATAACGCCTAAGTTTGATTCGAACAAGACAGCGTGGCTGAGCCGCGCGGCGCGGCCCCAGCGCAGGACAGGGCAATGTCAGCGACAATATCAAAGCCTGGCTGGCAAATATACATAGCTATAGAGCCAAAATCGTCCACACCTCATGTCCACTCCAGCCACACCTGTTACGTCCGCCGTTGAGCCGACGCCGGCCAGCGATCGGACACTCACCCTGGCCGATGCCGTGGCTGTGGTACAGCATGGACGACACTCCGTCGAACCGGAACCCGTCGAAGCGGTACTCCTCCATGTACCAGCGCAGGTTGGAGAGGAGGAAGCGCAGCACCTCCCAGCTGCTGTAGTTGAAGAGCCGCGAATCCCACAGCGAGTGGACGCCGCGCGAGCCGCCGTGGAAGAAGCAGCTGTCAGAGCCGTCGAACTCGTTCAGACCGTCCAGCACGTTCTTGGAGGCGTGCGAGTGCACCACGTCGAGCAGCACGTAGATACCGAGCCCGTGCGCCGTGTCGATCAGCTGCTTCAGCTCCTCCGGGGTGCCGTAGCGGCTGGAACGCCGCGCGCATGGCAGGTTAGGCAAAGATGGCACGGCACTGCCCGGCGTGCCTGAGCTGGCGGCGAGCACGGCACATACCACAGAAATGAACTACAGCAAGGAGTGCAGCAATCATCCCTGGGAGCCTCAGGCTCTCGTAAAACGACTTCGGCTGCTCTTGCTGAGCTACGTAAAAAAACAATCTGCTAAACGTATTCACAGATATCATATCCTCAGTTGATACATCGACTGTTGTTGTCAAAGTTGCTAAAAAGACCCCATAACGTCCTCACAAATACCATACACAGCGCGCGATTGTCCCGTACTTATTACACCGGTCAACGGCTGCCCGATCTCCAGGGGTACGCCCGCCGCTGCCCGATCTCCAGGGGCACGCCCGCCGCTGCCCGATTCCCACGGATACGCCCACCGTTGTCCCATCTCCAGGGACACGCCCAGCGCTGCCCGATCTCCAGGGACATACCCGCCGGCTCCCAGATCTCCAGGGACACGCCCGTCGGCTGCCAGATCTCCAGGGACACGCCCGCCACCGTCCGATCTCCAGGGACACGCCCGTCGGCTGCCAGATCTCCGGGGACACGCTCGCCGCCGCCCGATCTCCAGGGACACGCCCGCCGCTGCCTGATCTCCAGGGACATACCCGCCGGCTCCCCGATCTCCAGGGACACGCCCGTCGGCTGCCAGATCTCCAGGGACACGCCCGCCGCCGCCCGATCTCCAGGGACACGCCTGTCGGCTGCCCGATCTCCAGGGACACGCCCGCCACCGCCCGATCTCAAGGGGCACGCCCACCGCTGCCAGATCTCCAGGGACACGCCCGCCGCTGCCCGATCTCCAGGGAGACACCCGCCACTCCAGGGACACGGCCGCCGCCCCACGGTCACGCACGCGTGCCGCCAGCCGCCAGCGGTGCCTCACCTGGACGCGGCGAAGAAGCTGGTGACCTGGTAGCCGAAGCTGGCGTAGTAGACGTGCTCCATGACGGCCATCAGCTGGATGGCGTTGTAGCCGAGCTTGGCGACGCGTGGCAACACGTTCCGGGCGAACTCGGTGTACTGGCCCACGCGTGGCTCGGCCGTCCCAATGCCCACGTGGCACTCGTAGATGCGCAGGCTGGCCGGCCGGCGCGGCCGGGCGTGCTGGAACTGGTAGCGCTGCCGGCGGCCGCGCGCCTCGCGTCAGGACGCGGCAAACGGAAATGCGCCGGGGTTCGCATCAACACGAGGTCAGGCGTAACGCACGGGACACCGCCTGGCGGGGACAACACCGACACCGGACAGGTACAGTTGCAGCGAGCAGGCCCCGACGGCACCGAAACCCCTCCGTCCGAGAGCGGACAGTATGTTGACCGTATTTCCCAATCGGAAGGCCGAGCGCACGCGACACACGCTGGCGGGTGACCCTGCGGAGTACACACTGTGGCTCGGCGTGGGCAGACGCAGCACCGCGCAGCCCGGCGCGCACCTCTTTGATGGGCGGGTTCCACAGGTGCTGATTGTAGGCGATCCCCAGGTCCTTGGTCGGCGGCGGCTTCACGTACGTCGCCCACGGCGACAGGCGGTCCACAAACTCGCCCGACTTGGTCTTGATCACCAGCTGCCGGAGAGCGGTGTGGTAATGACGTGTGCCAGAGCCCGCCGGGCGCAGCCAACGGCGGCGGCTCGGTCTCGACACAGGCCATGACCAGTGCCCAGACCAGCCACGGACACCGTGAGACGCCGGAGAACCGTACCTTGACCTGCGAGAGGTGCGCAATGGGAGGCATGGCGTTCTTCGCCGGCAGCGTCAGCTGCCACTTTCCGAACGGCAGGCGCTGGAACTCGGCCAGCTGCCAGTTGTTGAACTCGCCCTTCAGGTAGAGCGCCTCGGCGGCCGGACACCACTCCAGGCACGTGACTGAGCCGTCGCGGTCCACGTGCATACCGAACCGCTCGTAGCTGCGGCTGAAGTGGTCCAGCCCGCCCTCATGCTCGTTGATGCCGGCCAGCAGCTTGCTGAACTCCGCATACCTGACAGGGTGGACTGTATCAGGCAGGTCACAGGATCAGCACAGTTACTTTGGCTGTCAGGTAGTCAGGAGAGCAGACATCAACAAAACAGCACAAAACAGGCAGTGCAATTTCCAGGTGGCTCTGCAGTGGAAAACAGCAAAGCACGAGTGAAGTGAGCATGGTATCAGCAAAATAATGCTAGAAATGATGGACTTAAGCAGCCTTCTTCATATAAAGCACAGCGAAACACATCATTTACTACTGAGGAGCCTATCTATTGATTGAACAAGGCAAAAGGCCATTGAGATGGCAGCATCCAACATGTAACAGTCATCACTACCTTCTCTTGATTTCTCCCTCATGTAACTTGAGGTATGGATCTCTCTCTAGCAAAAGATTTAGCTGTGGAGGACTTGAGGAACAATCACCACTTGCTTGAGACATCCTGTGCTGATGACTGATCCAAACTGAAGAGCTGGAAGCAAACACATCCAGATGGGTGGATCAGAGAGCAGGTGCTGTTAGGGAAGACATTTTCAGAGGCAGAGCCAGTACTGACACATTTTCCCAACCTCAAAATGTACAAATAAATGATTTTTCAACCTCCACTGGTGGAACAGAGTACCAACTCATATCCAATGGAGAGGAGAGACATGACACATAGGTACATATCCTTGGCCTGGCAAGCAGGGCTTCAGCCACCAACATTGAATAGAATGTCATTTGTGTTTACTCTGGATAGAAATACTGGATAACATGTATAACTCTTAACAAAAATTCTCAGTTATACAATTCTGGATACAATAATTCATTACATATAAATGGCACCTGATGTTAGGTGAAAATAATATCACCATGTTATTAGATACCCAAATTCATTTATTCCACCAGTATAAGGATCAGACACCCCACTAAGCAGAGTGATGTGCTGACAATGATACAGATGACCATGTTATCTGTACTATGTAGTAGTATTACTCCAGCTGCAGCCATTTAGTGGCAAAGACCATTTAAGTGGCACACAGTCATAACAAGAACACAAAAACAGGTACCCAAAGTAATGACAGCCAATTTTGACCAGATTTTCATACCTTGTTCACAAATCAGTACTTTTTGGAAAAGTTTAGCAATTTTGGTAAAAATTGAAGACAATGTGACCTACTTTAAGCATATATACACCACCTGTTCTGTAAGACAAGACTTGTATGCTATCCCTTATACCCCAGAGACAGCATTACAGGTTACATGCCATAAATCACGTTCTTGGCCCCGGCTTTTAATAAAGAGACAGGGTTATTGAGGAAGCAGAATAACCCCAGGATCTTAGGCACTGGTACTGATACACACTCAGGACAAGTTGAATGCAAAGTGGGTTGCTGGCATAACCCAAAAATGGTGGGCTGGACAGTGCAGTTTTCTTGTCACATTTTATGTCATGGCCAAGTCAACATAAAATCATTTCTAACATCACTGATTGGGTTCACTTAATCAGTGGATTATTATCTGGGTTCTCAGTGTTAAAACTTGAGCCAAATGTATTTCAAGTGCGCATATGCAGAAGTAGAGGCTGAAAATACATATGAGATTTTCAAAAGCAGCTTAACCCCTCTCTCTCCAAAATGCCTGACTAAAAGGGTAGGGAGATTACTTGAGTGAAAGACCAGGAGTGAGAGAACATCAACCTTCATGTTTTATCCCTGGTTGACAACATTGCCCATAACCATCAGTGTTGCTGTCTCAAAAATCTCATGTCCAATGGAATGGTCCCACAATAGTGTGCACTTGCCAATCCTCTGAAACCAAAAGCAAAGCCTGGCAATGTATTCAAAACACAAATAGATGTCAACACCACTGATGCGCCTTCGTGCTTGATTCAGGCGTCACATTTCCGCGTGAGATACACCCGCGTTGGGCTAAACACCCCAGCTATTTGCTCTGTGAAATTACATCGCGTCCCCGAACACACCCTGTATTCACTTAACGCCCAGGCAGCACCTCCCACCCGCCCTGACCAGGCCCCTTTCAGCTCCTCTTCAACGCGTCGCTTCGCATCGGCCCGGCTGGTTCCAAGGTCGTTTAGGTCGTGTTTGTTCTTCGTTCAAAAACTGATGTCATATTTACCTTCTACGTTTTTTCACGGCCTTCCTACGTTTGATTTACTCAAATTTGATAGAAACAGATTTTTTAGACTAATATAAATATGAATTAGGGTAGTTATTGGTGACCTTTGAAGCTAAAAGAATGGAAACAAGTGTCTTATTACATAAAAATCCCTTAGCTTTTGAGCCGAGCACCCAGTTGTACAGAACATGCGGCGGTTCACGTCGGTGTCGCGTCAGTATTGTACGCGGCCACAACAGCAGCCCAAACCCCTAAGAACCCATAAGTACGTGTCACATTTCTACCGCAATCTTGTGATAGGTGGGTAGGCAGTGGTTGAGGTAAGCAGGCATTGGTATATCATCGTTTTTATTTGGGGAGTCTTCGGGACCCCAACTGGCGTGTTTTCTTTTAGGTGACTTGCTTTGTGCGTGGGTTCCATCATTTTTGCTATTTAACCCCGCCCCCAACTTACTTTGTGGGACTACACTCCTTTAGCTAAGTACTCGATACGTAAGTTGCAGGGGGACGCAAGACATGTTACTTTGACAGCCCCATTGGTACACAATACGCAGGCTGCAGTAGGTCTGTGGATTCAGGAACTGGATTGTAGTTGGGCGATAACCAGTTTGTTCAAACCAGCAGCTGATTTTAACTGAATACATGATTCAAATTATGATTGCGCCCAGATATCTTGAGAAATGATTGATTTTATTTTTGTGGGGTGGTGTTAGGCATAGTTCTGGTTAACTTGTTCAATGAAAACATGATACTTGTGCACAGATGGAGGTCACAGTATTTGGAAGGTCCGATATGTAGCTGTGATCAGACAACCAGAATCACCACTCCTGTCACCAAAATAGACTTCCTGATCACAAGCTGAATCAGCAAGCAAAATGCTCAGTTTATCACCAGAAAGGCTGGTGCATCACCAATGGTGGCAGTTTAAATTTGGTTCAGCCGTCTGACCAAACTCAAGTGCTAAAATGTCTGATAATAGGAATAAGGGTGTGAGCAATCACCAAAATGAATTGAATTGTTACTTAAATCACAGCTCCTTGCCCCTTATAGCTTAAAGAGTGTTCCACATTTGTATGAGACTTTTAACTGAAATAGCCATCTTAAACATTCAGTGCAGTTCACTGCCCTGCTGCCCTTGGGACCTAATCCCTTCTAATATCTGAGGTACGCCATAGCTCAAACATAACCTTAGATTGCATAACATAATTTTTCTGACTTAACCTAAACTTTCATAGTCACCTAGTGGCTGCTTTTAGGATATGTTGTAGTATATTTCTGGGATGTCATGCTCTAGGACAGCAGAATCACATGTAAGATGGTTACCTCAAGATGCCTCAAGGATACAATCGTACAAATTAGGTATTTATGGTTCACAAGCTATCATCACAATCAGAATTGACCAGAATCCAGCCTTTTCAGGATCCAGCTTAAGTGTTAAGCACAAAAATGCACCCACATGTACCCACACTGGCATTGGATTTTTCAGGTGAGGGACCATCACAAGTCATTCCCAAACACTGAGCCAGCACCATGACCCAGGATGCAGGCGACAGCCACATGTACTCGGTTCTCCTGCCGACATACAATGAGCGTGAGAACCTACCCATCATTGTGTGGCTGCTGGTCAAGTACTTCACCGAGGCGAGCGTCGAGTTCGAGATCATCGTGATCGACGACGGCAGTCCTGACGGCACGCTGCAGGCTGCCGAGCAGCTGCAGCGCATCTACGGAGAAGAGCGCATCGTGCTGCGGCCGCGCGCCAAGAAGCTGGGCCTCGGCACCGCCTACATCCACGGCGTGAAACACGCGCGCGGCGACTTCATCGTCATCATGGACGCCGACCTGTCGCACCACCCCAAGTTCATCCCGCAGATGATCGCCCTCCAGAAGGCGGAAGACCTGGACATCGTGACGGGCACGCGGTACAGCGGCACGGGCGGCGTGTCCGGCTGGGACTTGCGTCGCAAGGTGATCAGCCGCGGCGCCAACTATTTGACCCAGGTGATGCTGCAGCCAGCCGCTAGCGACGTGACTGGCAGCTTCCGGCTTTACCGCAAGGACGTGCTGCGCCGGCTGATCGGCGCCTGCGTCTCCAAGGGCTATGTCTTTCAGATGGAAATGATTGTGCGCGCCACGCGCCTCGGCTACCGCATCGGCGAGGTGCCCATCAGCTTCGTCGACCGCGTGTACGGCGAGTCCAAGCTGGGCGGCTCAGAGATTGTCAGCTTCGTCAAGGGTCTGCTGCACCTGTTCGCCACCACGTGACGTGGCCGTGACCGCGGTGACCGTGCTGGGAGGTGAGCGTGGCTCGAGAACATTCCGAGCTGCTGCGTGGAGCAGCGGCCAATGAACAAACACGGTGCTGGTAATTGCTGTGGGTGACCTCTGAATTGCTACTTTTGTACTGTCGCCTCGCCTTGGGTGAGTTCTGAAATACCCATGTTGTGCATGGTATTTGGTGGTTGCTTCACCAGGCTTAACAAATACGATGAGCAATGAAAGGACGAGCGTTCAGGAAGCGTTCGAAGCGCAACAGACGCGCTGGGAATGGTGCATTGCAGCGCAAGATGACTACCTAGAAAGCGATGGCAACCAAATTCAGACCAGAAGCGTTTTCTGCTGTTATATGTGACTTGTTGACCGCGCCTTGCATGCTATGTTTCACACCACTAGAATGCCCTGTCACTGGAGAGAAGAGCATGGCAGATCATGAGAATCCTAAAGCTCAGGTATAGCGGCCATGGCTAAAGGTTGTCACAACGTTGTGCGCCTTCTGTGTTTGCCATCTTGTGTTTCATCTTTCGGTCTACTTTGTGAACGAAGTACCAAAGGACGGGCATCCGTACGTTCATCGATCCCCGAGCAGTCACGGTGAAACAGATTTCAAGCCACGCATATGTATGCAGTGCAGAAATACCGATCACAGAGGCGCAAACGGGAAAGTCTGCTACAAGGCCAGCTGCCACGCAACCAAAAAATATGTGACTGGTTCATGGATCACAACGAAGCATAACATTCTCGTTTGCAGGCGAAACATTACGAGAAGCGCTCACAGCTCAACAAGAGCTGTGAGCGAACCGCGACAGCCCAAGGCACGAGAGCCGTGCTCGTGACTGCGGGGCGTCGGGTCACAGTTAACACTCGTCTAAGATTACACACTGTCCCATTATAACAAAGATCAACGATATAAACCACAATGCTCGCAATATCACAACTTTCAATCACTGGCGGATCGCCGTGAATTTGGCAGGTACCTGTTCACACAACACGCGTCTGCCGAGGGCACGCAGGCATGCGCAGTGAATAAAGAGCGGGCTGCGAGGCGGGGCGCGCGGGGCCGGGGCAGGCGGCACCGGCAGAGCTCCGTCCTGAGCGCGCCAGTCACGGCGCGACTGCGGACAGCGCCGGCTCGACCGCCACGGCCCGCCGGCCCGCGCAGCCCGCCTCTCAGCAGAGCAGAAGACAGGCGACGACTACAAGCAACGCGCGTGCTCTACACTACTCCGGGCGCGGGTCGGCGCACGACGGCGGGTCGCGCGCGGGGCTGGTCAGTTCTGGCGTCGGGTCGTCGGTGGCGTGGTCTACGAGGCGGCGGCCGCCACGCAGCTGAGGTCGGCCTGCAGGCAGTGCAGCCGGCCGCGGTCGTCGCCGCACACTAGGCCCGTTGGCAGGCCGGCAGCCGGCGCCGCCACCAGCGCGCAGTGGCGCACGCAGCTGGCGAACTCGAACTCGCCCACCTGGCGGCGCCCGGACGGCCGTCAGCACAACACGCCGCGAGACGTCCAGACCCCAGCACACCGCATCGGCAGCCACGGGTGAGGCGGAGCGCGCCACTCTGCCCGCCCTCCTCTGACACACGCTCACATACAGTCCAGCCGACGACCGTGCATCCCACCTAACGTCCACCGCATGCTCGCAGAGCGGCGGTGTCCGGTCCCGCCGCCTCGCCACCCAGCGCCGGCTCGCCTCCCTCCACAGCCCGGCCGACGGCCGTGTATCCCACCTAACGTCCACCGCACGCTCGCAGAGCGGCGGTGTCCGGTCCCGCCGCCTCGCCACCCAGCGCCGGCTCGCCTCCCTCCACAGCCCAGCCGACGGCCATGCATCCCACCTGACGTCCACCGCATGCTCGCAGGGCGGCGGTGTCCAACCCCGCCGCCTCGCCACCCAGCGCCGGCTCGCCTCCCTCCACAGCCCGGCCGACGGCCGTGCATCCCACCTGACGTCCACCGCATGCTCGCAGGGCGGCGGTGTCCAACCCCGCCGCCTCGCCACCCAGCGCCGGCTCGCCTCCCTCCACAGGCCGGGCGTCGCCGTCGCCGCAGGCTGGACGGCGCCTCACCTGTTCCAGTTGGGCAGCGTCGGCGGCGCGGCGGCGCCACACCATCAGCCGCCGGTCGGCGCCGCTGCTGTACAGGATCTCGGGCCGGCACGGGTCACGGCCCACCCACGTGACGGCGGCCGCGTGCGCCTGCCGGCGCGGTCCCGGGTCAGACAGGCGCCGGGAGGATGCCTACGACGCCGCACTGGCAGCGTCAGCAGGTTGGGGTTCAGAGGATGTTCTGCCCGGAACGGAGCTGCCGTTCGGTACATGACAATCTACTAGCAGCTTACATCTCTGCCACTCGAAGGAAAAAACATCGCCAATCGCGTAAACATAAGCTTTAAGTCAACGTTCAACGCGACATAAAACAATTAACTATGCAGCACGTCAGACATGATGGGCACATCCGACATGAATACCATTGGCAACATCATGAGCAAAAAGTATTTTTCCATTGGAATAGCATCATGGTGGTTGGCAGTGGCGAAAGACCAAAATGTGCATCTTAACACGCATCTTGTAAGATATGTCTTAAGCAAGCTGCGGAGCTCCAACGTATTCAAGTCAGACAGAAAAAGAAACGTATCCGCGCAGTTTACAAGCCATTTTAGCACTCATGTTGTCAATAAACGCGTGTTCGCATGCATTTGCGAGGCAATGAAGCGAGTGGACGTACGCGGCAGGCTACACTGGGCAGGCGACCCTTTTACATAGACGAAAGGGCATCACTACGCGTTTAAGATACCTTCCACTAGCACAGACGCGTGATGCTGGCCATGCGTGCCAGTTTCGTGCTTTATTTTCTTTGTGCTCCGGATGTGTTAACAGCTATTTTTAGCGAATTTGCAATAGTTAAATCATTTGATGCCTTTAAACCAAATTAGGTTTGTTTCCCAGCAATTTGCCTCGGAAATGCAGTCCGCTAAGGTTTGCTGCATTGCACTGAAGAGTTCCGACCGCACACCGTGGTCATGAGCCGGACACAAGAGTCCAGCGGCCGGACGCTGTCGGCGCCGTGCGGCCCCCTGCCGCGCTCGCTGCCGCCTGCCGGCCGGGCAGTCCCGGAGCGCACCTTGGTGCAGCTGTACTCAGCGCCGGAGCGGCACCAGAGCCGGCCGGCGGCGTCGCCCAGCACCAGCTCAGTGTCGGTCACCAGCAGGGCGGTAGGGGCGGTCGGCTCGGGCGGCGCCCCGTCCTTGTTCACGGGCTCGGCGTCGGCGCCCGGCGGCCGCACCTCCCGCCGCTGGGCATCGGTCGGCAGCTGGCACGAGGAGGCGGCCGGCGGCTGCAGCCGGCGCGCCGCCGGCAAGACCGGCTCCCACTCCGCGCTGCGCGGGCAGGCACAGGGCAGTGTCAGATGACACTCCCGGACATGGCCCCACACCACGCGGGGGGGGGTGCGGACACAGGTCAGTGTCAGATGACACTCCCGGACATGGCCCCACACCACGCTGGGCGCGCGGGCACAGGTCAGTGTCAGATGACACTCCCGGACATGGCCTCAGACCACGCTGGGCGCGCGAACACAGGTCAGTGTCAGATGACACTCCCGGACATGACCCCACACCACGCTGGGCGCGCGGACACAGGTCACTGTCAGATGACACTCCCGGACATGGCCCCAGACCACGCTGGGCGCGCGCGCAGACATGGTCTGCTGCAACAAGGACGTGTTTATGCACTTCAGACGCGCATCAAAAGAGGACGACACCATGAGAAAACACGTGATATGCAATGCATACTAGAGGGCTCAAATTTAGATGCAAGACAGCAAGCTCCGCGGAGAAAGTCATACCCGGAGATCTGCACACGAGGGAACGCTTGGCACGCAACTCATTCCTGTCATTTGAAGACGATTAACGGTGTTTTAGCTATTGCAGCTGTCACCTACGCCTGAATATTTGGGATGATGTAAGGGGACATTTGTATCTCGGGTATAACAAACACCGTGACACCCCCGATAATGGGTGTGGAGTCCTCGGTGAGCCTGGATTAATTGGGAATGACCCTGCCGGGCCGACCAAAACCAGTGCCGGGCATGACGGCTACCTTGTGGCCGAGAAGGTACGACCGCTGACACGGAAGCGGCCCGGGTCACTGCGTGTGGGCCCGGCAGAGCGAGAGGACACGGTGACAGTGGCAGGGACGGCGGCAGTGACGAGGACCTGCCGGTCCCGCAGTAACACTTAACACTCACCGCAGCACGTTGAGGCGCTCCGACTGTTCCAGCCGACAGACCATGCCGTTCCTGTCGCAGGCCACTAGCGTCGAGGTCCCCAGCGCGCGCACCTGCATCACGGCCGGGTCCGGATCGGCGCCGCTGGGGGCCGCGCGGCCGCCGGGTCAGGCCGGTGCGCACGGCGCGCGCGGCAGCCGGACGGGCATCGCAGGCCGCTCGGCGGCGAGGCATACACGCCGGGGTGCGGAGGGCATGCGGCGCTGGCACGCGACGACGCGGCACCACGCGGCTGCGCATTGTGCTCGCTGGAGAACGCGGCGCAAAAGGCCAGGAGTGAACATCATCGATCGCGACAGCGGCGATCCGGTCGCAGAAACTCGACCCCGGCTATGGGAGCGGCGCGGTGATATCACAACCCCGCCGGATGGTCCACGACTCCCCAGAGGTGATATCACAACCCCGCCAGATGGTCCACGACTCCCCAGAGGTGATATCACAACCCCGCCAGATGGTCCACGACTCCCCAGAGGTGATATCACAACCCCGCCAGATGGTCCACGACTCCCCAGAGGTGATATCACAACCCCGCCAGATGGTCCACGACTCCCCAGAGGTGATATCACAACCCCGCCAGATGGCCCACGACTCCCCAGAAACCTCCCCTCTCCCCCGCGCCCGACACAGCTGCGTCACAGGTTCTGACGGGCTGCCGCCTCACCACTGATACAAGGCGTGTCTCTTGGCGCACTTGTTGACCACGGTCAGGTGGCCGTCGGCGTCGCCCACCAGCAGGCAGCGCTGCTGGCCGCCGACGGCCACGCAGAGCAGCGGCGTGATCCAGCCGCCCATGGGACACCAGTCCAGCTTGTGGTGGCCGCCGCCGGCCGGCTCCAGGGTCACGTGCACGGCGAACACGCCGTCAGGCATGACGCCAGCGGCGGTGAACGAGAGCGCGCCATCCGCGTCCAAGCTGACGGCGCCCACCGCAGCCGCCACCAGCTCGCTCTGCAGGCCCGGCAGCGGTCAGGGGCGTCGCCGCCCACGCCCGGTCACCAGGTCAAGATCACACTCAATAGTCATGGCCACATGCCATCAGCTGAGGGTATTGTCACACCACGAACCCACGGCCGACGGAAACGAAATGAGTACCTTGGCGAAACAGGAATGGTGTCAGTAGATCGACCCTAGTGGATGTCACGATGCACGGAAGCTGATGCATGACAGCAGGACGCTGAACAATATACACCAGGGAGTTTTGCACATCTAAGCACATATTTCAGCTGCGGTCCCTTAGAAGCTAACCTCATGACCACCAAACCCATACCTTAGTGTCCTCCTTCATCTTGACTGTGTACACCGCTGTGGGCATCTTTCCGTCTGTGACGTTCATCTTCCACGCAGTCATACAGCGGTCCCGGCTGACGGTGACCACATAAGATGTGACACGGTCATCCGCCGTCCAGATGTGCTCCACAGTGAGGAAGCCGGAGTCGACTGATGAAACGGCAGTTTGCTCGGCGTGCCAGAGCTTGACGCTGCCATCTAGCGACGCTGACAGCAGGCTGTTCTTTGTCACGGTCACGCTGCTGACGTCGGCAGTGTGATCGCCGAAGCTGGCTGCACAGTGCATCTGCAACAAAGGGCCGAAAGCTCGAGAAGACCAGAGTGGGAGAACAGACACATCACTCACCTGGTTGCCATCTCGACGAAGCTTCACCGTGGCGCGCCACCTTTTGAAGAAAGATATCCGCGAGTCCGGGGGCTACCGGCTAGCTAGACCTGCTCACGTCCCTCCGTGCACAGACCGGTACCGAACACTGCCCCAACTCCGGGTGACTCGCGGTGCCCGGCCAGCGCCGCGGCGCCACGGTGGGCCCGGCGGCCGACCACCGACCTTCTGCAGGTCGATAACGACGGTGGCATCCTGCTGCGGCAGCAGGCCGACCAGCCGTCCGTCGGCCAGCCGCGCCAGGTCGGGGCGCGAGCCGAGCCGGCACCGCTGCTCTGTCACCGGCACCAGCCGGCTCGTCCACAGCAGCACCTGACCGCCGGCCGTGGCGCTCAGCACGTGGTTACCCTGCCGGTCAAACGTGGGGTGAGGTCAGGACTTAGCTCGGCATGGGCGTGCCGCTGACACCCAGCGCTCAGTTGACTCAACTGGCACCCGACACATCATGTGCCAGTGTCCCGACTGACACCCGACACATCGATTCTCCGCAGTGACCATCATCCCCTCCCCTGCGGAGGGTGACAGGCAGGCGTCGTCACATAGTCTCGGCGGCTTCATGCGTCGCAAAGCCCCGGCGACGAAGAAGGCGATCACTTAGATCGCTGCTGAACCGGTTCAGTGACGTAGCTAGCAGAGGTGCCGTTTTTAAAGTTCCTGTCCGTGGTCCAATCCAAAGACGAAAGGTGGACCCACTGTCCGTCCAAGTGTACCTAAAAATTGGGTCGTCCAAAACGTTCAAAAAAGTCCTGCCTATATAAAAAATGACTTAACTACAACCAATAACCCGTCATTTCTCGCGGCGTTGCATTCATCACTAGAATCGACCAAACAGAAAGCACATGATCGTGGTTAAGTAATGTGTAGCATGGGCGTTCGTGAAAACATCAACAATTTACAAGGCACATCGCTGTCCGCTGAGCCTATCACAGAGCTCGACGACGGCAGCTTAATCAGCTGGTGAGAGCTAACCAATCGTGACTAGGCAAAGAGATGAGGATCACGGGATCTCCTGAAAACATTACGATCGATGCCCTTTCTATCGTTGTTCATAAAAGAAGCTTTTAATCTCATGTGTCAAAACGTATCATTTTCTAGTGCGGCTCATCAACAACTTGTTTATGCTTCAGAATCAAACTATTTTGAAAGCGAGCAGCATTACATTAAATGAGATGTTTACCAATAAGTGACATGACAGCATGATATCAGCTATCAAACACCGAACATATTTGCCCCGTCCATCCCATTCCAAAATTGGATTATAATTTTTGGAGGAGCTCCAAAAAATTGGAATCCAATCAGCACTTCTAGAAGTTCAAAGGGCCATGGTCTTCGCCCCTCCCCCTCCCTGGAGGTGGAGAAGGCTTACCCGGGACAGAAGGCCCCAGTGCTTTTGGTAGTTTAAGGCGCCAGTAGCACTTCAAAATCGTAACAAACAACCCCTGAAGCATCAATATATAATCCCAAGCATGCATGGCCTGGAACCCAAACACGGTCCCTGGCGACGACGAGGGGGCTTCATGGTTGGAAGAGCCCCTATGCCCCGATCTGGCCCTACCCCTGGGCGAAGCCCTGGCTACGCCTCTGAACCGGTTTTATACCCTTGGCCCCGCCGAATGAATATCACATCAACTCCGCCAGAACTGCGCATATGTCGGTTTGCCGACGAGGCCTACTGCGAAGTAATCGCTTGCTTTTAACGACCTTGGTTGGCTCCCACACGGCGCCATACCAGCTGGTCGGAGTGGTGGACTGGTCGGTCCGCCCGAGGGGCCTCTGACATTGGTAGCGGCCGGGGATTCCCAGGCGGCGGGCACCGCCCTCAGGCTAGCTGGTGGAGCGCCGACAGGTTTGCCGTCCGTCCGGCCGGCCCTGGCCGACGGCTGGAGGCGCCCCGCCTCGGCCATTAGTGCCATCCGTGACCGCCTGCCGACCTGACGCCATGTCTTGGGCGCCCCCGCCGGCGCTGCCGCTGCCGCTGCCGCTGCTGACGCTGCTGCTGCTGCTGCTACTGCTGACTGCCGCGCAGGCCAGCCCAGCACACAGTCTGGCCCGGCGCTCCTCTGCGGTACGCGTCAGCAAGAACTGTCTGCGCTGCATCTGCCAGGCGCGCGGCTGCGACTGGAGCGTCGGCTGCCAGAATGACGTGTGCGGCGCGTACATGATGAACGAGGACTACTTCATCACCAGCAACGTCACCAGCCGGGCCAACCTCTACAAGGCTTACACCTTCCAGAGGTGCGCCAGCAACCCGGCGTGCGCCACCCTGGCCGTGAAGCTCTTCCTGCAGAAGCTGCCTTCGGACTGCGACGGCGACGGAATCATCGACTGCGACGACTTCGTCAAGGAGCACTACTACGGCCCGAACGGGTGCGTGGGCGCCGGCTGGATCGAATTCTCCGACACGTGGCGCAAATACCGCAATTGCAAGAGAGAATACGAAATGGTGTAAATGCATTCAGCCAATCTGACAGACGTGCGCGATGTGCAAAGTTGGCTGTATACCGAACCCCTGTGTCACAACAGCTGGTGGGCTAGTGCTCTTGTGCTCCAGCTTCGAATGATGGTGGGATGGCTTATCCCCTAAACGCTGCCGGTAACAATTCGCTCTGCGACTAATACCCGCAAAAGTAATTCTGATGGCTGGCGTCCGGTTATAAAAGGCAGACATGGTGCCGTGTTTGAGTCATCAAGGTCGCATAACGCGACAGAGGCGCTGGATGGTCGACCTTATCATGGACTAGAACAAATTGCAGTCCCAATGATCGCGACTCCAAGCCGCTCCAGCGTCAAGAGTCGAACCTGCATACCCCTTATCTCAAAATACGCAGCTCTGTACACCATTGTTCACGTGGCGTACGTAGCGTGATGTTCGGCATTGGTGCGCGTGTGATTAGCAGCCCTTCGGTCGACCAGAGCAGCCGCGCAGGCCACACAGGTGACACTGGGTGACGCGACCGGCGCCGTCGTAGATATCGCCCGCCATTACAGCTTCCTCCCCCCCCCCCTTCCTCTGCTGTCCGTCCCTCCCTCCTCCCGGCCCGCGTAACACCTATGGGGAGGCATTAGCTTGTTGTTGTTGTTTATTGGAGTTTAGGGGCGCGCCGACTGCGGTGGTCATTTGGCGCCCATAACGAGTTTGGTTTTACCTATCTAATGAGCCGCATAAATGGTCCCAAAGTTGATGTGTTTGAGAAACAAAAAGATCTGTTGAAATTCCAGAAATGGTGATTTATCTCCTAGCATATCACAGATGGTAAGGGGCAAGTCATGCTGTCCAAAATAGCGTTGGCGTTCTTCCGCGAGGCGCGGACAAGAAATAAGAATATGGCGAACGGTGAGGACGGCACCACATCGATGACAGATCGGTTTATCGGCTCCCTCCAACATATAGCCGTGGGTTGCGTATGTGTGCCCGATGCGCAATCTGCAGAGGATCACCTCCTCTCGCCGCATTTTCCGCGAACAAGAGAACCACTGACCTAGCTTAGGTTTTATCTCTCTGAGCTTATTACAATCCATCCGGTCCCAACAACGCTGCCACTTGTTGTGCAGGAAGGTTTTTATTGCGGGGTAAAAGTCTCTGGCAGGAATAGAAAGAGAGTGAACACATGGAGCCAGCGCTGCTCGCCTAGCAGCCGCGTCAGCCAGCTCGTTGCCCGCGATGCCGACATGACTAGGAACCCAACATAGCATGATTTTCTTTCCGGCCTCATCCAGATGAGTCAAACGTATTAAAATGTCCTGTATAAGGGGACATGACGGATAAAAAGACTTCACACTCAGAACGCTGCTCAGAGAGTCCGTCAAAATGAGATGCAAGGGTTCGTCACCGACTTCAATGAAACATAGTGCCTTAATGATTGCTATAAGCTCTGATGTAAACACCGAAGCGTTTGGGGGCAATGAAAACGACCGGGTGACGCCACCGCTCACAAACGCACAGCCTACACCATCAGAAGTTTTAGAGCCGTCCGTGTAAGTGTGTGTGTAGCCCTCATATAACGCAATACGCTCAAACGCTCTGGACCTCATTATATCTGGCAGCGAGACACCTTTTTCATTTCAGTCAGAGATGTGTCTGTGAAGGGTGAGATCAAATGCCAGGGAGGAGTGCACAGGTGACGTGATCGCTTCACCTTTCCAATGGGAATTTCGGTTTCCCGCAGTAAGGCTTGTATCCGGGAGCCAAAGGTCACTGCATGCGCCCGAGGTGCATTGCGAACAAACGGCACAGCAGGCCGCGGAAAGACTGCGTGATATGCGGGGTGACACGGAAACTGTCGCAGCTTCAGTGCATAACGCATGCCAAGCATTTTCCTCCTCGCTGACAACGGCGGCTCGTGCGATTCTACCAAGAGGCTTTGGGTAGGAGATGTACGGAACGCCCCTGTGATGGCACGTAAAGCAGTGTGATGGATGGTGTCAATGATCCGTTTCGTGGACTCACATGCGCTGTCATAAATAAAACATGCATAGTCCAGCTTAGAGCGTATGATTGCCCGATACAGCAGCAAAAGCGTGCTCCGATCTCCGCCATACGACGTGCGCGAAACACATTTTAATACGTTCAAAGATTTAAAACAGCGTTCACGTAGCGTTTTAAGATGTGCCTTATATGTAAGTCGGCGGTCAAAGTATACCCCAAGGTATCTAGCCACAGGCTCAGTTGGGATGCATTGTCCATACATACGGATAGAAAGGTCACCGCATTGCCGGCTACGACAAAAATGCATGGCTACAGTCTTGCTACGTGAAAACCTGAACCCGTTCATGGTACCCCACTTCTCAACGCGGTCAACAGCTAACTGGAGTTGGCGTTCCATCGATGGTGGTCTTGCTGCGCTAGTCCAAATAGTAAAATCATCAACAAAAAGCGCACGACCTACAGACTGCGGAAGCCCCATCCCGATGTCGTTGATCATAACGGCGAACAAAGCTACGCTGAGAACGCCGCCTTGGGGCACCCCATTAACTTGAACATGCCTCTCAGAGAGCGCGTCTCCAACACGGACACGGAAAGAACGGTCAACTAGAAAGTTTTGAAGAAAGGTCCCCATATTGCCGCGTATACCATACCTGTGTAGCTTGAGAAGGATGCCTTGACGCCATGTGGTGTCATAGGCGCCCTCTATGTCAAAGAACACTGCGCCTATGTGTCGGCTTGCTTTAAATCCCATACGAATCGCAGTGTCAAGAACTAAAAGATTGTCAACTGTGCTGCGATTCTTTCTAAAGCCACACTGGGCGTTTGTAAAAACGCCGTGGTGTTCTAAAAAACCAAGTTAAACGGACATTAACCATCTTTTCCATCAACTTAGAGAGCGATGAAGTGAGAGAAATAGGTCTATAGTATAAAGGATCCAGTCCACTTTTACCCGGTTTCAAAATAGGAACGACTATAGCTTCTCGCCAAGAGGCTGGAAAGTCCCCACTGGCCCAAAGCGCATTAAATACCGCTAATAAAACGCGAAGCACGCGACGCGGCAAATGCTTGAGCATGTCGTTGTGCACAGTGTCCGGGCCTTCTGACACGCTGCGAAGCTTGGCAATCGCCCAATCCAACTCGACTAGGGTGAATGGATCATTATAACAATGTAGCTCACTCGTTGAAAAATCCACTCCAGATTGCTCACATTGCGCTCGGTGCCGCACAAACTGTGGGTTAGTGTTGCCACCTTCGCTGCGGTAGGCCAGCGCCCGGGCAATCTCGTTCGCAACTTCCAAGGGGCGCGTCACGGCCTGTCCGTTCACACATAGTACCGGAAGAGCCATGGATGTAAAGTGCCCAGATATGCGCTTAATTCGAGACCATACCTGCGATGTTGGTGTGAACCGGTTCAACGTACTCACGTAAGCATGCCAGGACGCACGCTTCGCCTCTCTTACGGTGCGCCGAGCAAAAGCCCTCGCTTTCTTAAAGGCTATGAGGTTTTCTGTAGTACTCCTGGCGTCAAAAGCCCGAAACGCACGTTTACGCGCCCGGATGGCGCTCCGACACTCCTCCGTCCACCACGGAACAGGAGTACGTCGGGGAGCGCCAGACGTGCGTGGGATAAAGCTGTTGGCACACTCTAGAAGTCTGTGAGTAAAAACCTCAATAGAGGGTACCGTCCTCACAGCCTCAGTTACGAACGATTCGTCGAGCCGAGTCTCAAATTCACACCAGTCCGCTTTCTTAAAATTCCAGCGTTGTGGCCGAACACCCAACGCTCCACCTCTCTTAAACCGGACCCACACTGGGAAGTGGTCGCTTCCCATGGGGTCATCTCCGACACTCCACTCGAGGTGTTGGACGAGCTGGGGACTGGAGAGGCTTAAGTCTAGTGCGGACGTCTGGCCGGACGGCATTGTAAAATGCGTACGAGTTCCTGTGTTTAAAATACATAGTGAAGCACCGTGGATAAAATTCTCGCACAGCCTCCCACGAGCATTGGTGACGTCACACCCCCATGCGGTGTGATGTGCATTAAAATCGCCGAGAAGAAGAAGTGGCGGAGGCAGTTCAGCCAGCAGACACCTAAGGTGCGCCAACGGAAAAGCAATGCCTGGTGGAAGGTAAAGTGAGCAAACAGTGATGTGACGATGGTTGAAATAAAGCCGTACGGCCACAGCCTGAAGTGTGGACCGCAAGCTTAGCCTCCTCGCTGGCACGCTATGGTGAACTGCCAGGAGGACGCCACCGTGAGCGATGCTCTCCGTCAACACGTCGTTGCGAAACATCGCATATCCTTTCAGAGAGCAAAAATTGTCAGGCGCTAGCTTGGTTTCCTGCAGCGCCACGGCTGCAGGAGAGACCCTGCTGACGACAGCCTCGAGATCGAGGGCGTTCGCCCTTAATCCTCTACAGTTCCACTGTAAAAACGCCTGTAAAAGGGCGTATTAAAAAAGAGGTAAGATGTGAGGAGCTAAAACAATCCCGGCTTAAAAAAATTCGGCTGCACCAGTTGCATGTCCAGACGCCTCAGACCGAGAGCTTCGGCTTAATTCCGGGGGGCCGTGCCCCACCCTAGGACGAATCCTTGGGCTACCTCCGTCAGATGGAGATGGGGGGCCGGCTGGGGCACGCTTTACGCCAGCGTACCCAGCCCGGGGTGGAGGCGGGGGGGGGGGGGGGGGGCCCATTGGTGGGCCTCTACCGGGGTTCGAGGCACCAGCGGGGGCCTCCACCGGCTTTCGTGGCGATGGAGTGCTGGTTCGGGGGACGGGCTCTTTGTCTGCACCGGACAGGCGGCTTGCCGCCTTAGCGCGCTCCAGTTCGGCCAAGCGTGCTCGCTTGGCCTCGCGGGCGCGCCTGTCAGCTTCCTGACGTTCCAGCGTCCAGATATCCGACCGTGCACCCGAGCAGTCCATCATTCCTCGCGTCACATCAGGCTCCCGGAGGTGGTCCAGTGCCTGCGTCACGTTAGGCATGCTAAGAATTCGAGCGAATTATTAATGACCCCTTACAGTACCGAAAGCAGGAATCAAAAGATCCATTTGGCAGTGTCTGAGCGAGCATGACTTACGGCGGCAAGCGGCAAAGCGGTGGCGCCCCTCGCAGGTTCCGTTTTTTGTTAGTCCTGGTTCTGAGCAGGCATGTCCTGGTTCCCCTTCCCACTCTCAAAAACGCGATATTGGATCCTGGTTACGGCTGGTCCTTCATAAACAACACCGCCTGGTGCATGGGTCATATCTGTTTTTTTGCAAGCACCGCATCATGGTTGCGTGTCCTCACTGGTTCCTTCGTAAATAGAAATATGGGCTCCCGGTTCCACTAGTCCCTCCACAAACACCACAACCTATTTCAAGGGTCTCAATGACTTTCCACACCCTGGTTACCACTAGACATTTCACAAACACCAGTTTCTGGTTCCTTGTTCCCTCCATCCATTCACAAAATACCAGGCCCTGATTCATGGTTGTCACTGGTTTCTCACAGATACCAGACCTTGGTTTTTGCTCCCAACTGCTTACAAAGACATTAGATCTCACTCGTAAACACAAGTTGGGCTGCCATTTGACGACTAGCTATCATTGAACGTATGACGTGTACGGCACAATATTTATCGCATATTCACACGTGGCATTTACAAGTGCGTCGTGCATAATACCAGTGAACTGTGTGAATACCCACTAGTTCCTGGCAACGATTCCAGGAGGATCTCGGTTCTGGTCAGTTCCACCACATAGTGGAAGTTGGTTCTTGTTGGATCCTCAGCATAATTCCCGGCTGGATCTGTGCTCGCGCTTGATTTTTAGCCGCATGCCAGGCTGGCTCTTAATTCTCACTAGATCTCTCGGCATAATTTCAGGATGGGTCCCGTTCTTTCTAAATCTCTGCATATCCCAAGCCGAATGTCGGCTATTGCTGTATGCTCTCGTTTATTATCAAGCTGGCTCCTAGTTCTTGCCTGTTCTCTCAACACAAGTCATTGCTGGATCCCAGCTCTTGGTGGTCCCCGGTTTTATTCCAAACTTATTTTTGTTTTCTCCCTAGTTCTGGAACCTGGAACCGGTTTTTGAAGAACACAATTTGGGAACCAGGCACAGATCTGCTCGCGGGCAGAAATTGACGACAGAGCCATGCCAGTCATTATTAGCTTTCGATGCCATGCGACGCGTTCATGTTCATTTGTTTGTTCCTCCTCCTTCGTGGATGTGATACATTACGCTTGTAATCAATGGTCATATGAACCGGTGAGGTAGGGAAATCGTTTCACCATACATCACTTGAATTGCACTGATATTTTTAATTGCATAATCATGTGACCGTCTTTGAATTAAAGTTTGCCCATCGGCAGACCGTCCCTGGCTTTGGCTGCCGTCACAATTTGTTTTGCTTGGCTTCCATCCACGCCGGATTTTGCCTCTTTACAATTTCCGTCTGGGTATTTTTTGTCCTTCGTCTTTTCCCGATTCGACTTCGATCACTGTCGATTTTTTGCCGTTCAGACATTCCACGTTAGCAAAGGGACGGGACTGCAGTGCTTCCTGGACAGGACGGGAGGCCTTCGCTACGGGCGGCCGTCGCATGGTCTTGGGTGTGGACACGAAGACAATCGCAGTTTTTTTTTTTGCGCGCTGGGCGCGCTGAACAGTGACACATTGCCCAACCTACCAACAAAATACACCAACAAACAGGTTTCTCCGCAGATTTTGCCAGCTTTATTCCCACAGGGAGGGGCTGAAGCCCCCTCCCCCCCCCCCCCCGCCCCCCCCCCCCCAACCGAACAGGAAACCACACTCCTGGTTGAGGACCTGACGACTTGAAGATGCTCTAAGAAAGATGAAGACTAGCGGAGATCAGGCGAGTTGGCAGCACGAGCTCTCGGCGATCGTCATTGAACGGGTACCGAAATTGGTAAGAGAGAGAGAGAGAGAGAGGGAGAAAGAAAACGGCGACACGCGTACATTCCTGACGACCCTGACCGCCGCAGTGCCGCCAAGGTGCCGGCACTGGCAATTCCAGACCTTACTATTGTAGCAGCAGGCGATTCCCGCTCCAACGAGCGGCTGGGCACGCGTGCCCGTGGTCAGGCCGAGACCCCACTCACCGCCACGGCCAGCGAGCAGACGGGCGCGTCGTTGCCGGTGATGACCCGCCGAGTCAGCTCGTCGCTGTCGGGCTTGTCGGCGTCCGCGTAGACCACCAGTTGCGAGTCCTGGCCGGCCGCCAGCAGGCTGTTCTCCAACCAGGCGAGCGCCGACACAGGCACGGAGAACGCCTCCAGCGAGCGGACCGGCGCCCGCCAGCCGTCGTCCGACGTCCAGAGCAAAACCATCTGACGGGGCCGGGGAGGGCGCGGTCAGCCGGCTGCCGAGTAGGGCACCCTCCCCTCCCCCACCGGCCGCAGGGTCGGGCACCGCCCTCCCCCACCGGCCGTCGAGTCGGGCCCCGCTCTCCCCAGCCCCCACAGGCCACCGAGTCGGGCCTCGCCCTCCTCCATCCACTGTCGAGTCGGGCCCCGCTCTCCCCCACCGGTCGCCGAGTCGGGCCCCGCTCTCCCCCACCACCCGCCGAGAGCGATCACGTGCGGACCGTTCGACACCGGTTCCCTCCGATCGGGCAGACACCCGGACCGGAACGGCTCCAACATGCCCAGACAAAAGCACAGCAGATGGCCGGTTGACCCTTAAAGCACAACCTCTGCACCGGCTGACTAGTCCTATGCAAAGCCTTGTCCACGGCGGCCCAGAGTCCGGGCGACGCCGAACGAAGCGGCCCGCGCTCGACGGCGGCACACGCGCGAGCGCAGTCAACTCACGCCGTCCCGTCCTCCGGAGGCCAGGATAGGGTCGCTGGTCAACGCCAGGCAGGTGACTTCGCCCGCGTGCGCCAGGCTGGAGACAAGGTCGCCGCGGTCCGCCAGCGCCACCGCCACCCGGCCGTCCTCCAGACCTGCGGCCCGGCGCCAGGTCAGGCCAGGTCAGCGCACGACCGTCGCCGGACCGGCGGCGCGCCCAGGTGACAGCAATCCGACACCGCACACGCAGCGAACAGTGGCCCCGCGGCGCACAGCACGGGCGCAGCGCCTGGGCAGAGCCCACGCCGGGCGACGACCGGCACTTACCGAGCATGGCAACGCCCAGGTGGCTGTCGTCGGCGCCCTCGGGCATGCAGGTGAGGCTGGTGATGCGCGCGTCCGGCGCCAGCTGTCGCTCCGAGTGGCCGTCGCTCAGTCGCAGCACGTGCAGCGCACGCCCGGCAGCCAGGTAGGCGCGCTGGCCGTCGCACACCGCCGCCGTCACGTTCTCGAGCCGGCGCGACCAGCGCGGCGCGCCGCTGGCCGCCTCCGCCATGGCCACCTGACCGCTGAGGCTGACCGTGAGCACGCCGCCGGCGGCAGCGGTGCACGCCAGCACCACGGCCGAGGCGGACGGCACGCGCAGCACCTCCTCACCGACGTGCGCGCGCCACATCTGGCGGCAGAGGGAAGAGCCCGGTCGTCTGAGGTGACGGCAGAGGACGCGAGCCGGCGGCCACCGGCGACGGCACAGAACAGAGGGTCCGCCGACTCATCGGAAGAAACAACACAGTATCCAGCGATGATATCTCACAGCACGACGTACCAACGGGCGTTCAGGGCTGGTCAGGCAGACCACGAGCTAACGGTCTCATTTGGCGTGGCAGGGCAGGGACCAACAGCCGCGCGTGACTGGACAGGGTCCAACGCAGGCGTGGGGCGTCCTGCCGCCGCGGCCAGAGCGGTGTAGGGGAGCCGGCCGCTGGCGGGATGGCCGAAGAACAGGGCTCGGGCGGAACGGTCTCCCGAGGCCGCAGCCACGCGTGCCCGACGAAGGCCTCCCGCGTAAAGCACCTCTGAGCGCCGGTAAGACCAGCACACTGGGCCTGGGACGGCGGGTAACGCAGGAAGCTGGGACAGCTGCCAAAGCTGAGAACTGATCGGGAGGCAGCGCACGCCAGGCAGGCAGGCAGGCAGGCAGGCAGGCAGGCAGGCAGGCACCCAGCCAGCCAGCCAGCCGCGCGCCGCTCACCTTCACGTCGCCGTCGGCGCCCGCGGAGACGAATCTCTGTCCACTCAGGTAGCAGACGGCCTGCACGGCACCCTTGTGCACGAACGCCTTCTGGATCTGCGGGCGCAGACGGGCGAACTGAGCAGCAGCGACCCAGCGCGGGCGCCACGACTGAGCGCCGCCGCCTCCGCCCGCGGCCGACACACGTGCTGGGCTGCATACACCCCGCGGCCATCACAACACAGAGCGGTGCGCCGTGACTTGTCGCTGTATCAACCCACATCAATTCTGCTTGGACCTCCAGCACCACCGCGACCTCACTCTTGCTATCGATTTCGTCCGCCACAATTTCGCGCGGACTGGCCAACCCACATCCCATTATCTCTCCGTCCTCGTCATGGCCTGATCTTTGCTGAAGGGTTTTACTTACACCTTGTGAATGTCGCGTTAAGGGTATGTGGAAGACGCGTAGAATAAGACGCGCGCGAAGAATAAATGTAAGAAGACGCGCGAAGGATAGGTGTAAAAAGCATAAAACAGGACGTAAACGAGGGATAGAGATTATCCCGAAAGCTCCTGTTCAATACAAACAAGTTGACCGAAAAATTACCTTTTACATTCACTATACCCCAGCTCAACACCATTCTCAAACATAACAGGATGTGAATAATTGCAGCCGATGTGGCTTACCCCACGACGGACGGGAGGTCTTCAGCACTCATTGATCAGCCTCGTGTCCAGCCAAATCCTCTTTCCAAGAGGCGTGCAAGAGCGCAGGATCGTGCTCGAAGGGGACGAGGGTCATGACCAAACAGGTCATTTTGCTGTTTATGACAATGAAACAATTACTAAGCTCCTGGTGTTAATGGGATTTTGAGTTGTTATGCTACATTCAACCGGCCCACGGTAGGCTAATAGGTGCCAATTATGCGAAGACGTCGGGCAATTACTGAAACACCAGCACAAAGCGGGCCGGCGTGCATCGCTGTTAGAATGCGCGTGCTTCAATTATTATTTCAAAACAGATTATTTGTGTTCTTTCATTTGTAGTCTGCATATATTTCGTATATTTTCTATATTCCACCATCCCACTTTGTTTTATCACGTTTTTCCTCAACTTTGCTCACCCGTGGCCATCAACAATTTTGGAAATGTACGCAAGCCTACATGTCTCCACAACAGCTTGATACTTTTTCCACCAGCATCTCCTTGCAGATTGAAGATCGGCCATTTTCAAGGTAAGAACTCAAGTTCCACGACAGAAAATCCCAAATGATCGTCGTCCTCGTGCTTTGCGGGCCGGGAGCACTTCGGAAGAAGCGGACGTTGAGCACAGAGCGCCACACTCTCACCGGGTCGCCGTGTTTGGTGCCCCAGATGATGAGGCACCCGGCAAGGTCTCCTGACACGAGGTAGTCGGCGTTTGGCGAGATGGCCAGACACCGCACCGCCGCCATGTGACCGTGCCGCACCTGAAGACGCACGGAGAACGCTGGGGATATCACGCAGCCAACACATGGAGGGCCCCACACTGAGGCACGCCAGCTGATGTCCACCACTTAATAAAAGTGTCGACATTCGTTCCCGAACATGATACGATACAGATGATGCTGAGAAAGGAGAGCAACAGCTCTGCCCCTGATTTCAAGGCGAGCGTTCAGTAGCGGTAGCTGTTGTAAATTAATTTTTAAAAACGTCCTCTTATATCAGCCTCAAGCTGAGGACGATACTAATTAGAGAGGCTTTGCTTCTACAAGGCATTGGAAAACACGCACCGACGCCCCGTCCCACGCCCCCCCCCCCCCCCCATGCTCTCACCGCCTTCCGCTGCATGTCGGTCGTGTCCCAGATCTTGATCTTGCCGTCCCAGCCGCCGGTGGCGATCAGTGGCCGCGTCGGGTGGAAGGCGGCGCAGCTGAAGGGCTGCGTCTCCTGGCACAGCACCCGCAGCTCCTGCAGCTCGCCACCGCCGGAGCCGAGCGAGCCGAGTCCCGACGATGACCGGAACCGCCACAGCTGTGACATGGGGACAGACGGGGCTGGGACAATGCAGCTGTGACATGGGGACAGACGGGGCTGGGACAACGCAGCTGTGACACGGGGACAGACGGGCTAGGACACCACAGCTGTGACATGGGGACAGACGGGCTAGGACACCGCAGCTGTAACATGGGGACAGACGGGGCTGGACCACCGCAGCTGTGACATGGGGACAGGCGGGCTGGCCAACGCAGCTGTGACATGGCGACAGACGGGCTGGACCACCGCAGCTGTGACATGGCGACAGACGGGCTAGGACACCACAGCTGTGACATGGGGACAGACGGGGCTGGGACAACGCAGCTGTGACATGCGGCCAGACGGGCTATGACACCACAGCTGTGACATGGGGACAGACGGGCTAGGACACCACAGCTGTGACATTGGGACAGACGGGCTAGGACACCGCAGCTGTGACATGGGGACAGACGGGGCTGGACCATCGCAGCTGCGACATGGGGACAGACGGGCTGGACAACGCAGCTGTGACATGGGGACAGACGGGCTAGGACACCAAAGCTGTGACATGGGAACAGACGGGGCTGGGACAACGCAGCTGTGACATGCGGACAGGCGGGCTAGGACACCAAAGCTGTGACATGAGAACAGACGGGGCTGGGACAATGCAGCTGCGACATGCGGACAGACGGGCTAGGACACCAAAGCTGTGACATGGGAACAGACGGGCCTGGGACAACGCAGCTGTGACATGGGGACAGACGGGGCTGGGACACCACAGCTGTGGCATGGGGACGGACGAGGCTGGGACAACGCAGCTGTGACATGGGGACAGACGGGGCTGGACCAACGCAGCTGTGACATAGAGATAAGCGGGGCTGGGACAACGCAGTTGTGATATGGAGGCAGACAGGGCTGGGACAACGCAGCTGTGACATGGGGACGGACGGGCTATGACACCACAGCTGTGACATGGGGATAGACGGGCTGGGCCACTGCAGCTGTGACACGGGCAAAAAGGGCTGAAACACCAAAACCGTGGCAGAGAGCAGGCGGAGTTTCAGCAATACAGCTGTGACACGGGGGTAACATGAGCCTGGGTCGTCGCAACTGCGGCAGAGACGAACCGCGCTCCAATACCACTACCGCGACAAACAGACCACACACTCGGGCGCCGGCGAGACTGCAGCCGGCAATCGGGCGCGGGGCTCCCTCGGCGCCGGGAGCGGCTTCGCCGACGCACCTTGACGTCACAGCTCCAGCCGACCGAGGCGAACTCGTCCGTGTCCGGCTGGACGGCCAGGCAGGCGACGCGACGCCGGTGGGCGGCCGTGACAGCCAGCCGCACGCCGGAGCTCGTCTCCCAGACGCTCAGCTGTCCGTCGGCGGCGCCGCTCACCAGCAGCGTGCCGTCCGCCAGCAGCGCCAGACCTGCGGCGGCGCCTGACGATCAGAGGGCGCGCGCCACGCGCCGCGCGCCGCGGCCAGCAAGCGCCGGCTCAGCCCGACCACGAGCACACGCCCAGCTCGGCTTCAGAACAACGCTCAAACGCAATGCAAGGCTGCAGTGGCTGATGGGATCGCGGTTTTTTTCAGCGATGCGCACTGAGTCTTTTCCCGCGCGACCCTGGTGGCCCCGCCGGAGCAGGGCCGCAACGGCCGACCCTCATCGCCAGCCGGGACCGGCGAGCCAGCGACTCGCGCGACGGGAGCGGAAGCGGGGACCCACTTGTGATGGGCTCTCCGTGGCCGACGAAGCTGCGGGTCTCGCGGCCCGAGGCCAGGTTGTACAGTCGCACGGCGCCGCTGGGCTGGCCGATGTACAGCTCCTCGCCGTTCGGGTCCGCCACGACCGCCGTCACCGGCTGTGGACACGGCGGCAGCCAGCTGCTAGAGCTAACGCAACGGCCGCAGGGCCGACGGCCGGCCGGCCAGGCCACCGAGCCAAACATTTCTAGAAACAAGGTATACTTGGCTGACCCTTGGGGCGTGTTCAAACAACCGTTAACATTTTAAGGTATTTTGAAATATATGATATAATAAGCCTTCGTAACGCCGGTGGCCCCGCCTCTGTAATACAGCATGAACAGTTGGTATGTCACAGGTCACACAACGTTGCGGGTGCCTCGAAGCGCCCGCAATCGTTCCTCAGATCAAAGACCTCTCCATGCCGAAGACAAGTCTATGCTCAGATGTCCTGCCACTCCTCTTCCCCAACAAACCCTTCCAGTCTTCAATAGACTACTGCATATTACCCCGCCGTGTCTTCTCGTGGCGTTCTCCTCTCACCACATCCCGCCCGAGCCTCGCCACCGCCCCCCCCCCCCCCCTCCCCCACCCCCGGACCGCTGACCTCTCCGGGCCTGATGGTCATCTGGCAGGGGCGCGGCTCCTGGACGGAGGCGCGCGGCTGGCAGCTGAGCCGCAGCAGCGCCGAGCCCGGCGGCCGGCTGCTGCCGAGGATCAGCTCCTCGGCCAGGCCGCGCAGCCAGCTGTCGGCCGGCTCGTTCAGCGCCTGCTGCAGCACCAGGCTGGGGGACCTGCGGCAGCGAGCGCACCTTCAGACGCACGCACACGAGCCGCTGCGTCTGAGAGCTCCGTCCTCCCGCAGGTGGGCGCGGCCGGCCAGCTGTCGGCCGGCTCGTTCAGCGCCTGCTGTAGCACCAGGCTGGGGGACCTGCGGCAGCGATCGCACCCTCAGACGCACGCACACGAGCCGCTGCGTCTGAGAGCTCCGTCCTCCCGCAGGTGGGCCGCGGCCGACATGCGTACTGGTCGCTCAGTGTGCATCCGTGTGTATCAGTGAACGTCACGGTGCGTCAGTGTAAGTGTGCGTCAGTGTGCATCAGTGCGCGTCAGTGTGCATCAGTGAGCATCAGTGTGCGTCAGTGCCCATCAGTGCGCGTCAGTGTGTGTCCATGAGCATCCGTGTGCGTCAGTGTTTACCAGTGCGCGTCAGTGTGCTTCAGTGAGCATCAGTGCGCGTCAGTGTGCATCAGTGAGCATCAGTGTGCGTCAGTGCCCATCAGTGCGCGTCAGTGTGTGTCCATAAGCATCCGTGTGCGTCAGTGTTTACCAGTGCGCGTCAGTGTGCTTCAGTGAGCATCAGTGCGCGTCAGTGTGCTTCAGTGAGCATCAGTGTGCGTCAGCGTGCAGCAGTGGGCGTCAGTGTGGTTAGTGTACCCACTGGTCAGCCGTTCGCCTGATGGTATCGATAAGTGCTAAGGAACGCACCCTGTCAGACGGCCGGCGTCATCCACGTCTCATTCGTGGTGTAAAGGCGGAGCATTGCGTAAAGGCAATGTCGATAGCTACATCGGTACATGTTTTTGAAACCAGAACACCGTATAGCGGGACTATTGACCAGGGCAGCATTGGCCGCCCACGTCGCCGACCCTGCCTTATAATGCTCTACAGGGTGTCCGGCTCCGAATCCAGCGACAATCGTAATCCGTCAAAAAAGTGCAGGCTGCTAGATCCGACCGGTGCGCAGAGGCCAGCTGTCAGCTGTCCAGAGAGCGGCGGCCTATAAATGCCCTCCTAAAAACCCGCCCTCAGTATAAAGACCGCACGGAAGGTTATTTAAACTACGCATAGCGACAACGCAATGTGCACTCATTAAGTTGTCACGGAACTTATATTAGTGATGTCGAGTTAGGGTTGCACGACAAAAATTAACCTCCAGTCCAGCGCTAACCGCACCAACAGTTCAAAACAGGTTTTAAAATACAACTGAAGTGGCGTGCTACGTCTATCAAGCGTCGGGAAGCGCGCACCACCGTACACCCAATACGCCTCACTGAGCCCACAGACCAGGTCTCGTGCATGAACACCATGCACAGGGCCTGGTACACATGCCAACACACACGGGACCCCGGTCGGTCTAATTAGGACAATGGGAACCCAGTCCGAATGTTGCGAACCGTAAACAAAAGCATCGATGATATACAATTGCTGCCAAGTTTGTGTGTGAGCGCATGGTTGCGACAGCACGCGTAGAAAAAGGCGCTGCGGCATTTACGTAACAAATAAATGTTCGGAGGAGATGCGGTCTGTGCCATGGCGTTTGCTCGAAAACCGCACCGCAACGACTGTAGATGGCGTTACTTTATTCCGAAGAAACCATTAAACGCATCAGTCGCCCCCGCAGTTCAAGTGCGTCACCTTGATAAAGGGGTCCCAATGGGCACGTCCCTTGCTCGATAGCTCTACGCAGAGAACTCCGGTCCCAGCTGGTGCCGCCAGCCGAGACTGGAATTCTCACCCCGGGCGGCCCGACCCCACTCGACGGGGGCCGGCCGCAGGCCACCGGTGCTGACGCTGCCCGCGCTGCCCCGCATTACCCGAAGGCACGCCCGCAGGGGAGCGGCAATACGGCGCCACCGGCGTTTGGCGGACAGAACAAACAACTGCGCACAAAGTTCTTTATAAGACGCTGCTATGGCAACTATCAGCATAGCAAGCCGTCGTCATGTTTTTCATCAAGGCTGGTCTCAAATACTCAATCAATTTCTCGGCGTGCCTTGGAAAGAAGCACCACCTGAGCAAGCTAACTACGCCTTACAGGAAGCCCTAAATGCGGCCTGCTGCTTAGTGCCATAAATCTCCGCGAATAATGAATACGCCTATTGATCTCGCTCCAGAGACTGCCGCTATACGAAGCCACAACCACTCCCGCTGCTACAGCGTATACATGGAACGTGGCGAATATTAAATGTAATGTATACCAGGCGCGAACAAGCGACACATGACCCACAACGTTCAGCGATATACGAAACTTGGCGCGCGGCACGCGTAAAACGTTCTGCCAGGTGCCGGAGGTTTGTCGGGTGATTTTTATTGCCATCATGCCAGGTGTCAAAGGTTTGTCTAGGTCTTTTTTGGCATTACGTCAGATGACGAAGGTTTATGTGCTTTTTGGCTTATCAGTATGACCCGCGCCGGGAGCTTGTCAGGATATTTTTTTGTAAGCTGTATTAGGTGTATAAGGTTTCTTGCCTGTCGCTATCCTTGCATACTTGGTCGCATACCGTCATCCATCACAAACCCGAGTCACAAACGACATCCGTTCTAGACCCGAGGTCCTACGTCACCTGTCACAAACTTAAGGTCACATGTCACCTGTCACAAACCTGAGGTCACATGTCACCTATTACAAACCCCAGAGCACATGTCAAATGTCACAAACCCGAAGTCACATGTCACTTGTCACAAACACGAGGTCACACGTTACCTGTCACAAACTCCATGTCATACACATCACTCGTCATAAACCTGAGCTCACATATTTCTTGTCACGAACCCCAGGTTATACGCCACCTGACACAAACCTAAGGTCACATATCACCTGTCCTAAATCCGAGTTCAAACACATCCCCCGTTATAGGCAGCAGGTAACACACACACCACCAGTCGCGGCCACGGCGTCAAACTCGTCACCGGTCACGAACGCAGGGTCGCGCAGCGTCGCGCAGCGCGTCCACGCCTCAGCCGCCACTCCCGTCCGCCAGTGGCCGGGCGACGGCCGCTCACCTGAAGAACAGGTGCAGGCTGTGCGAGACGAACTCGGTCACCTCGCGCACGTGCGGGTGCTCCAGGTAGAGCCGGCGCGCCGGCGAGTCGGGCAGCTGGGCGGCGCGCAGGTCCCCCAGCAGCTCGGCCGCCAGCCCGGCCTGCGCCTTCAGCATCAGGTACCTGGTGGACAGCGGCACGTTCAGCTGTCGAGCCCAGCGCTGACGCCTCTCCCCCTCTGCCGACGTACCGACCGTGCCGTCACCGATCGGGGCGGCACCTGCGTCTGGTCGTGCTGGCGGCAGGCGTCATGGCCAGCGACGACCGCGGCCCCTGGTGCGGGCCACGCCGCGGCATACTGCGCAGATTACGGTTCGAACGTGGCCGAAACATCGATTTCTGAAATGTTCGACGTCGTCCGGCTTTGTTGTTTTCCACCATCAAACTGATCAGACTATGTAAAATCCCTACTGGAGGTCACATGAGCTTCTTGTTGTTGGTTTTCATGTGCATAAGGCTGGAACTTTTCTGTTGTCTGCTGACATCTCTGTTCTGTCAATTGCAATGTTTGTCGTGCATTCAAGAATGATAAATATGCCATGTCAAAAATGTGTTTGCATGAGAGGGATCGTCAGAGCGTGTTTTATCGATTGCTGACACGAATGGTCTTTAAAGTTTGACCATATTTTGGTCTTTAAAGACCGACGACAGTCTGACATAACGGACTGTAACACAAGAAAATGGCACAACGGCGTGCTAGAAAAAAGGCGAGCTTCGTGTTCAGTCAGCACAAATCAGGGGGAGGCGACACATCGAACGAAGGCAAAACAGCAAGGCGTGCATTTCAAGACATCAGCGAACTCCAAGTGACAGTAACGGGTGTGGCTCCGAGGCTTCTTTTAAATTGGCCGCTCATCTTACATTCGTTAAATCACGACCTTACTGAAGATGCCTCGGGCAAAACCAGAAAATAGCCAACTAAATACGGCACAAACGCTGAACTCTTAAGTGTTGTTGAACTCTTAAGTGACCCCCTGTTAGCTGTCCTCACCGAGCATGTTATCGCAGCCATCAATACCTTTGTTCTTTGCACCTGGGAAACAAGTCTTAGAAACCTTCTTAAATATTGATCCCATTTTAGGTCCTATTTCTAATGATCCGCTTGTACATACGTTCCAGAAGTTAGGAAGCCAAACTCACACTTGAGGGAGGAGGAACAAATCGGTCATTGGGGTGATGGTGGGTTGGGTGAGGGCAGTGACCTACCCAAAATAACGCAAAGCAACATTTGCACCCGCGTCTAACAATCACATAAACTTTCATTGATCCATGTAGCGTCTGGACAGTCTGGGACCCGGTAGTTGATAGACTTCAGGCACATAGCCAAAATTGTACCGGGGGGAAGGAGGGGTCACTAAAATTATTTCCAAAATCCTGCGCAGTTGGCCCAAATTTCTACCAAACCCTTCTATTCTTTTTCTCAGCATAACTCTATAACAATTTCTCACCATTCCTCAGGCTCGTGGGGGAGGGCGCACACCTTGGCTATACCTTGGCTACGCCTTGGCTACGTCTTGACTACGCCCCCGGCATATTCGGAGGCAAATTAGAAACTCCGTACCAAATGTATGCCGTGAATTTCTCGGCTGCCAGCCACGCATCTACGTAACAATATGCGACGAAGTATAGCGCTAGTTACAAATGACATCCTTAAAAATCGCACCTAACTTGCCCGCCCAAAAGTCCCTATAAAATAAGTCCACCTTGTCATGGTGGCCAAAACCAAAATCTCAACTGCGACGCAGCTTGTGACATTCTGCGTGATGTCTCAATTTTGAGCTCTTCATGGTAAGACCAACGAACAAAGTGGCAGACTGTTGCGACGTCCAGAGCTATCGGAGCATCTGTAAGGCACAGGGGTACAGCCAAAATTTGCAAATGGGAGGGGAGGGGCCACCATCATTTGCGATGGCGGAGGGGGACTATTTCCTGCGATCGAGTCTCAGTTCACTACCCGTACCTCATTCCGCTGTTGGTCTAAACGTGCCGCTGCCCATGCTAGTGTCTGGGAGACAAACAAAATAGTTTTCCTGATAACCAGATTCCGGAATTCACGTTATTGGCATGCTTTAATAATGTACTCATATTACAATTGTACTGAATCAAGAGATAAACTACTTGTTGCAATGATACGTGAATAAAGTGGACATGAACAATCCTATTCAGGACCGTTGTGGTGATGAGCTACGCTCGAAGCTGACGGCGGCGGAGTGGGAGGCTAAAGCCCCATGATTTCCCAAAGTTGCGCTGCTAGTACGACATGCGATTCGAGGTCGGTGTAGTTCAAAACCTTACACCCAAATATTATCTTTTAAATGATATTCCATAGATCTATTCCCGACGCAGCAATACAATACGCGCCGTCTGCAGCTATGGCAGACGGACCCACAGCTATCACATCTGTATTTTTCCGCACCGAGATCCAACGGAAATCGAAGCATGCTCTTGCCCGTAAAAACACGAGATGGCACGCCAAACCAGAGCTATACAAACAATAAGGTTGAGTGATCCGGTCTCCGTAAATGTAGAGCCTGTGGCTTGACGTGAGTTGTTCAGGGCATTAGCGAGAAACATTATTCACATAGATAAGACAGTAGTAATAGCCTGATTCCTCAGAGAAAACCAGGACAATGGAGATATAGCTGGGTTGATATTTCGGCAGCATGCCTTTAGAATAAATAAAATCGAAACAATAGCAGACGTCTTCTGCTATTATTTCCATAAAGGCATGTTGCCGAAATATCGACTCAACTATATCTCCATTGTTCTGGTTTTTCTCCGAGGAATAAGGCTACTACTATTGTCTTAGCCTATGACTTTGGGGAAGCCGCGAATTCGGAGATTATATTCGTCCTTTGATGGACCAGAGCAAGGCTATAAAAACAATAAGATAGAACGCTCCGGTCTCCGTAAATGTAGTCTATGGCTTTGGGGAAGCTGCGAAGTGACAATTTAGAAAATTTCCGGCCCATGTCAAACTATTACACGAGACCAAAACTGTCATATGTTGCACCATTACAACAATACTTGCACGACATTACAGCGTGGACAATTTATAAAAGTGGTAATATTTGAAATTGGTACAAATAGTTTGTTTTCATTGGGATATTTTTCTTCGGAACCAGAGTTCACAAGCAGGAAATATTCGATCTGATGTCAGCGAAAAATAGCTCTACTGAGCGTGCTGATAAACATGATGGTATATAATGAATTAAAATATCACATTTGACATTGCCACTGCATCTATATTCGTGTTTGCCCTTAAAAAAACCGTTTCCAGCAAACATGTGCCTGGCTTTCAATGTCGGTTTCTGGTACCTACTTACTCTCATCAAAACGAGGCCTTAGATCCCTCGCTTCGGCTAGCTCTTTCATTATCACTAGTCCTTGGTTACTGAATCACGTGGGTTATTTTGCAAATAACAGGCTCTGGCTCCTAGTTCTCACCTGTTGTTTCCAAACCGAACATATGATCACAAGTTTCAATTGGTTCGTTACAAATACCGCACCCTCGTTTCTGGATTCCATTCATTCACTCGCAAACCGTGTGATCCCACTAATTCACTCACAAACCGCTTGATCCCATTAATTCACTCACAAAACGTTCGATCCCGACCCCCGTTCGTCACTGGCTCATTCGTCAACACCAGCTCGGGTTGCTATTTGATAGCATTCTGTTATTGAAATGGTGCCTGATATCAAAGGTCTCTCACATATGTGCTTTAATAGCTGCGGAAGCACGCTGGATAACGTAAGTTTATCAAGTGAATACGTAATGGATTAACAATGCTTTCAGATGAGATCCTGGTCTTTGTTGTTGGCTTTGACATGTTTCTGCACCTTGGTTGTTGCCAGGTCCTGAAGATAGGCTGGCTCCGGGTTCTTGCGGGGTTTCTGGTCATATTATTGACTTAACATTTGCGCTCCGTGGATCTAGCGACACAATGCAAGCTGCCTCTTGGTTCTCGCTGACCCCTCTGCATACCTCAGGCCGTGTTTTGAATTTTTGTTGGATCTTTTGAATCGCACCAACAGCCGTGTGATCAGCGAGTAAACAGCAATGCGACCAGAGGGTTGGCGGGCAGACCGGTCGGCAGCTCGATCGATGGTCACTCTTGCTTGCGCCGGTACCAAGAGGACACCACTTCGGAATCGAAGAGCAGCTCCTGCAGGCGGTCGGCGGTGGGCAGCAACAGGAGGGGGGCCGCGTCCCAGGGCCAGGACTTTTCGCTGCGCAGGGTGAGCCGGGCGGTCACGTCGCCCAGCGCCTTGAACAGCGCCAGGAAAATGAGGCCCAGTGGACGACCTTCTGTCACGCATGGCCACCCGTAACTCGGTCCGTGGCCGTCGACAGGCGTGGCGGCTCCGGGATTGTAAAGTCGTTGACGAGTGGGACGACGCCCAACTGCGGGCCCAAACCCAGGCAGGTCCGGGGCTAGCAGCATGCTACCCCGTGCCGCGAGGGCCGTTACTCGCGTCCGGTGAATAGGTCTGTTCATTTATGATATTAAATATATTGAAAATGACATGATATTACCAAGATAGCTTAAGTGGCGTGCAGTCGTATTTCATATTCTAACACATCCTATGACATATAAAACCCAACCAAAATGGTGCTTGACACCAGGCGATACAGATCACTGGCGCAGTAATGTTTCCTATAGCCTACTGCCTTAAATAGCATCCAGGAGACATCATTTCATTGTTAAACTCATATCTGAGTCAGTACTTATAAGCAGACGTTGGCAAATACCCGACGCTCACACCTCTTTGGTATATTATTCCAAACTTTAAGTCTGATAATTTTGATTTGCACGGTCATAAAACAGCAGTACATCGCTGCGTCGGATAAGCCGTCAAAACAAAATGCACATTTCAGATGAAAAGTGAGCAGCATGGGGACCAGCAACTGGATTCCATCGATCCTTGCCAGTGTCATCTCTTGGGTTATCCGAAATCTTACGTGTTAAATCAACTAGATATTTTTTATGACGCCGGTATTTCGCGTGCCATCAATCGAGGCAAAAAAGCAGCGTTAAGTATGAGCTTTTTCCCCCGATGCCGCGGGGTGAATCACCATGGCAACCGTGTTTTCACGGGACTTAAAGCTGTGACGATACCAA